TCCCACCAAAGGCAGGAGCCAAAGGAGGCACAAATGGAACTGGGGTGGGCAGGGTGATATTCAACTGAACCTGGAAGAAAAAGAGGCTATTTCTGAGGATAAGGATCAGTGCAGAACCCAGTGCTTGAGGAGCTGAGATTGTTTTTCTCCTGTCTTTATCACTGTAATTTTCTCCTCTGGATGTCCTGAGCCTATTGCTTAGTTATTCACTGTCATGAGGTCTTTGTATAACTCTTCAGCATCTCATGTATTTATGACCCTGAATGCCTTAACATCAGCTGCAAGCTTTAACACTCGTTTTTTTTTTCTTATTTCTGAATATGCTGAAGTGAGCAGAGCCCTGCCCAGGTCCCTGTGGGGCCCCTTCCAGTCCTCCCTCCTGCCTATTGAGAGCTGCTCTTTGGGAATCTTTTAACCAGGTATTTATCCATTTCAAGTATTTTCAGTTAATCCCATGGTAGCTGCATTCCTGTAAGAAACTCGTTTGACAGACCTTTTGGAAACCCAGGCAGACTACACCACACACTTACCAACCCCTCTAAAGAACTGCAAAACGTTTATCAAGCATTTCTTTTTTCAGGAAAATCAACTTTCTTCTCTTCCCAGTATTTCAAATGTATCCAACTCTGTACTAATGAGATTCTCAGTGACAATTTCACTTTGCCCAGGAGGGAACCTCAGACTTCAGGGTCTGTCTTAACCCCAAACCCTCTGTCTTTGTCACCTTGAAGCTCTCAGACAGTGAGGCTGTTACACATAGTGATTACATGCTACAATTAAGTAATTAAACTTTTTCACCTTTGAGCTCTCACCAGGCACTTAGGTGAACCATCTCAGCCTGATGCATTTGCACTCTCTAGTTTGGCTATTTATTCCTCAACTTCTTCTGCTGACACTTGAACATGAGCCAAATCCGATGCCACATCCATATAAAGATGACTTTTGGCACAGAAGCATCTCCAAGCTTTTCTTCACTGACTACAGATGCAAAATATTCATTGTTTTTCTGTTCTGACCTTATCTCCTACGAATGCTTCTCTTGCACCATAGCCAACTTCTGACTCTCCAGCTTGACATGCTTGAAGAAGTATTTATTATTGTTTGCATCTCCCTTTTGCAGGTTGCTGCTGTGACTGGTTTTGGCTTGCCTTATTTCTCCTTTTTTGCATTTAAATTGTCAGGATACACAGTTTTTGTTCATTTAGACAAAAACTACTTTTCTAAACATAAAAAGAATGGTTCCATAAAGTCTGGGTATCAGAATCTGATCTGAGACCTAGACCTAATCAGGTTTGAGGTTCTGGATTTTCTACTGGACAGAGATGTGCCGTCCAGTAGAAAATGTGGCAGGATGCAGAGACACCAGATTTTCAAGTGTGGTGCATTTCTCTGGACAAAACCCATCACTGGTTGGGATGGACTTTGCCTGGCTTGGGCTTCAGGGCAGTGCAGCTTCCCTGGGGGAGGGAGGGAACATTCCTCTGGCCCGCTGTGATGATTTTGGGAGGTGTTTTGGGGTGAGATCCCATGAGAGCCCCCTGAGTGGAGGTTTGGGGCTGGGATGGAGGGGCTGGGATGCTCTCAGCCCGTTTGTCTGTCTCCATGTCTGCCCTGTTGCCATGGAGAAGCCGTGGGAACTGTCTGCCTGGCTCGCCTGACTTTTTTCCTAGCACCAAGTGAAGGTATCTCTCCAGCTGTAAAAAGCCCCCCGGCTGCCCTCTCTTCTGGGCTAACCCAGACCCCTAAATTCCTGGGATAAACCCAAAGGCAGGGATGAAACCCTAAAGGAAGGCAGGGAAGAAGCAGAGAGCAAGAGGGGAATCTGCAGGGATGGGCGAGGGCTCCTGGGGTGCTGTGATGGAGCTGGGTGCTTCTCCAGGGCACACAAACCAACACAGGAAATTCCCAGTGGATCTATGGAAATCTCTCCCTGTGAGAGCAGTGCAGCCCTGGGACATGGACCAGAGCATGGTTTGCATCTCCATCCTTGGACTTGTTCAAAACCCACTGGGCCAAGCCCTGAGCGGTTTTCAAAGTGGGCTGGACCCTCCCCAGCCTCAAACAGGGAGACCTTGCTGGGGGACAGGCAAGGGAGAGTTTGAGGGAGCTCCAAGAGGTACAAATAAGAGCAGTCTGAATGTGGGATGAAGATGGAGGCATCCACCTGGATGCTTTTTAATTCTGGGAAATTGATAGCACTGGGCACAGCTTCATGGAGACTGTAACTGCTTGCATAGCTCCACTTCTCTGCAAGTGGTTTTTTTTCAGTTGCTCATTTAAAACAGATGGATTTATTTCTCTTTTTTTGTTGTAGGAACTCTGGTGACACGACTGTACAACAAAAAACAGGGTGGGGGGATAGTCATGAGTAGAAATCTAATTGGAATCATATTCTGGGGGAAAAAAATCCCATATATTGAGATTGGGTTTTGTTTTGTACATGAAAAATGTCACTGTGAGCAACTTTGGGGTGCTTCCAGGTAGATCTGGTGGGAATTGTGTCATGGATAGAGCAGACCTGCCTGTTTGGAGCGTGAATTGTATTTTTAAAGGAATAGCATTTGCCTCAACTAGCAAAATATTTAAACATAGAAATAAAGAACATTTCCCCCATTTAGTTTACAAACAAGGAAAAAAGGGTTGGGAAGCACAGGCTGACCTTATTTATTAAGTATTTCCATGTCTTTATTGTGCACACATGGCACTTTTTCTGCTCACAGCTTGGGCCACAGCAAAGATACAGCTCTGAAAATTTGTTATTCATAGTGAATTGTTCAGGTTGTGATAAAATTCTGCCTGGTGAGGTATTTGCATCCTGCTCCTCGTGTCCACACAAACAAGGAAATTTGGTACCTTCTTCATCTTTTTTCCTCTCTCTCCAGAGATTATTTTTCAATGGGTAGATTAATAGACCAATCAGACTTAATTTATTCAAATCATCTTATATTTTCTTGCAGATTTTACTTTGGAGTCTATGGAGAGAGAGGACTGAAGCTTTCCCCCAACTTTTGGTCTCTTCATGCAGGGTCTGTGAAGGATGGTGAAACACAAGCTTATGCTACAGCCCTTCCTCAGGTACAGACAAGACAAGGTGTGTCTGTCACTCCCTCCTTCAGCTGCCTCTTTCACAAAGCCTGTAGGAATTTTAATTATCTATAAAACTTCTGTCCAATATTATTGAATGAGTGCTTCTGAGTTCCTGGGATTCCTGAACTCGCCTGTGGAGTCAGGGGCACAATCCAAGTGCTTTTTCTATATGTATTATGAATAATATGTAAGAATTTGCTGCCCCACTCACCCAAGTGCTCTAAAAGCAGATTTATAAAATACTTTCCCAAGGAAAAACACTTTTTCAAACCCCGCCTAGAGATTGAAACCTACATCCATGAAATTGATCTGAGGGCTGGAACCCCTCTGCTGTGAAGAAAGGCTAGAGGAGTTGGGAGTGTTCAGATGGAGAAATGAAGGCTCTGGGGAGACCTTCTTGCAGTCTTCATATATTAAAAGGAAGCTTATAAGGAAGAAGATGGGAGGCTTTTTATGAGGGCCAGGATAAGAGGCAAAAGAAAAGATTTAGACTGTGTGATAGGAAGAATTTTATGATTAGGGTGGGGAGGCCCTGGCACAGGGTGCCCAGAGCAGCTGTGGCTTCCCTTGGATCCCTGGAAGTGTCCAAGGCCAGGTCAGATGGGGCTTGGAGCAACCTGGGGTAGTGGAAAATGTCCCTGCCCATGGCATGGGATGGAGTAAGTGATCTGTGAGGGTTCCTTCCAACCCAAGAAATTCTGTGTGAATTGAAAATCCTCTAAGGCTGGGCTGACTGGTTGATCAGCTCATTTTTTGGGTTTGTTTTCAAGCACTCGATGACCTCAAGGCAGGTGTTGCTCTGGCAGGTGACACTGGGCACGGGGTGGTTTCTGAACACCCATCTCCCCCTCATGGCTCTGCTGCTTCCAGTCATCCTGGGAACGGCTGTGCTGCCTGCCCTGGGACAATGGTGGGGAGCAGTGACCTGCTCAGGGGAACAAAGCCAGTGTTTGTGTCAATCCTTCAGAGCTGTCGTGTCCAAAACCCAACAGCCCGACCTTCATCACCGTGTCCACCCCACGAGCAGACGGACACACAGACTCATACACTGCCCTGCTGTGGAAAATAAACCGTGTGTGAAACCTTTCACCCGATCGGTCATAGGCAGGCTACAGTTTTGTATCAAAATGACTGCTTTTTTTGCAGGTTGCACATCTGCTTCCTGACAGGAGCCTGGAGGGAGCGACCCCCGGGCCTCCCCTTGCAGCCGTGTCCGATGGCCGCTGCCTGGATGTTCCCCTCAGGGAGAACCGTGGAATCACCGAGGATCCCGAGCTAGGCGGGTCCCACCAGGATCACCCAGCCCAGCTCCTGTTCCTGCACAGACCCCCCCAACATCCCAGCCTGGGCATCCCTGGAGCTCTGGCAGCCTCGGGGCCGTGCCCATTCCCTGGGGAGCCTGGCTAGTGCCAGCAGCCTCTGGGGGAAGAACCTTACCCTGATCTGCAGCCTGAGCCTCCCTGACACAGCTCCAGCGGTTCCCTGGCTGCTGTCCCTGTCCCAGAGCAGAGATGGGTGCTGCCCCTCGGGAGGAGCTGCAGCCCCCTGAGGTGTCCCCTCACCTTTCCCTCCTCCCTCTGCAGCCACACGCGGCCCATGCGGGGGTCCCGCCGCCCTGCGCGGCCCCTGAGGCGGGGCCCGCGCCCCCTCCCCGGCCATGATGTCAGGCGGGCGGAGGAGGTGCCGCCGGCCAAATATAGCGGCGCTTCCTGGGCAGCGGGGCGGGCTCGTCCCTCCTTCTCTCCCTCCCTCCCTCCCTCCCTCCTGCCGCAGTCAATGGGGCGGCAGCGGCCGCGGCGGAGCGCAGCACGGGCCGGGGCCGCGGGCCGGGGGCCGGCATGGCGGGGCTCTGAGGCGGGGCGGCGGCGAGGGGCGGCGGCGCGCCCCGGCATGGGCAGCCGCGGGGCCCGGCGATGAGCGCTCCTCCGGCCGCGACCCCCCGCGCGAATATGGGCACAGCCGTGTCCAAAAGGAAGACGCTCAGGAACGAGGCCATGTCGTCCGTAGCGGCCAAAGTGAGGTGGGTGCCGGGGGCGCGGCGGGCGGTGCCTCGGGGGGCCCCGCGGTGCCGGGACCCTGCTCGCCCCCGGCCGCCTCGGAGGTCGTGCCAGGCTGGGGGGAGCCCCGAAACCCTCGGGATCAACCCAGGCACCTGTGCGGGCACGACCCGGGGTTTGTCCCCCAGGGCCATCCCGGGGCTGGGGAATGGCAGCTGCCGGTGGGTTCCTCTCGCTGGCTGCCCCGGTCCCCCCGAGCAGCCGCACACCGGCGGCCGTGCCACCCCTGCGCCCCGCGGACCCTCAGCCTCTGGAGAGGTGACTTGTCCCCACACGCGTCCCCGCCGCCGGCCCGGCCACAGAACCCACAGCAGGGTTTATTTGCTGGGTTGGCAAAGAGCGTGTCAGAAGTGGATTTGTCGGGGATGGATCTTTATCATTTTCGGGAATTCGGAAGCGCGGTCAGTTTGCCCGGTGGTTTCTCCTCGGCTGAAATGCCGTGTGCGTGTCCGAGGGCAAAGTCAGCAGCCTCCTTCAAGGGGTTTCGCTCCTTTGAATGGAAAATCTGCTCTGTGAAAATCTGCACCCACCACGTCTGCCCTCCCCAGCAGCGTCCCAAGCCACTACATGGACCAGTTAAGGGATTTGAGATATTTTGCCTGTTACGGTTTTATGTTGCTTGTCCTACCGTGTAGCATTTCTCTCACTGTCTGGTCCCAGCGCTTTTCAGTATCAAATATGGGAGATCCAGGAAAATATATTTGCTTTTTAATGGTACTTTGGTTTAAAAAGCTATCAAAGATGAGCTTTGCCTTAGTGCCCTCTCCCAGATGAAAGGACCCTTCTCCCACGCTGCAGTGCAAGTGTCACAACAGTCATCTGGTGACTATTTGGGGACATTGGCGCAGCTTTTTAGCTGTTCCTTAGGTACAGCTATGCCAGGGGATAGGTCTGTCACTGTCTACAGCTAGACTGGCTCTTAGCTGCTGGGGAAAAATTGGGAGAAATTGAACTTCTCAGCTGCATTATATAACACCTTCTTTGTGTTAGATAAAATTGCATTAGAATAACCTGGAGTTGTGTGTAGGGCTCAGTCCGTGTTGCTGAGATCTCAGTCACCTCTCTCTGTAACTCAGCATTAGGGCATCTCTGCTGTACTGGGAGGAAAGAGAAGTCTTAAGGCTTGAAGTGTAGAGATGCAAAGCTGTCTGTATCTTGCCATCTGTTTGAGTTGTAAAGAAATCCATCCTTCAAACTCTGGAGTATCTCGAGGGAGAGCTCTCCAGGCAGAGCCTGCAACTTTTCCCCACAGTTTGTTGCACCCTGTCCATAACCAGTAATGAAAACATTAATGCTTTCCATGGCATTCAGAGATTTGGAAGTGGGATTCTTTGTGGTGATGTCAGCCAGGTGCATATACAGAAATGACACGCAAAGCACCATAAGTGCTGTGATGGGGTTCTGGGAGTGGGATTAGGCAGTCACACAAACAACACACTCAGTAATTGGTAGGATTTCAAATGGTAGTGTGGGTGTTTGGGAGCGACTAATGTGTTTTGAACGTAATGACTTGTTAGCCTACACCAGGGTGGGCAGATGCTGCTCGGGTTCTCTCAGCTGTGTGGAGTCCAGGAGGTGCCTCGGGGGTTCTGGTTTGCTCCACACCTGCTGACAAGCTGCAGGTACAGGTTTGTGGCAGCTCTGCACTGTCTCTTTGAATTAAGGTGGTTTGACCAGAAAAGTTATGAATAGATTTGAGCTGGGGGACAAAATGCCCTTGAGGAGTGTGTGGTCACATAGACCACAGCACAGGACAGGTGCTTTTATGTGTCTCCCTGTTGATGCCCGTGCCAGAAGTTCCTGATCCAAAAATCTTTTGAGGAGGTCAGCGAACCTGCCGAGGGGCTCCCTGCGGAGCCTCTTTGCATGGAGAAGGTGCTGGTGGTGACAGGTGCTGTCCATGTGCCTCCATCCTGCTGCTCCAGGCATGCAGGATGCTCCTGCTCCCCTGGGCTCTGTCATGCTTAGAATTCCTACGGTGGCAGTGACCCACCTGCTGAAAGGTTTCCTGGAACGCATAAAACTCAGCTCCTCTGCCCTGCCCTGGGTCCTCCTCCATGTATCTCCTGCATCCTTATCTACAGCAAGGACTCTGTAGGACACTGGGTAAGGCTACAGAGACACTGTTCTGTCCACCCCACGGCGGCTGGGCACTTGGGTCACTGCTGCAATGATCATGTGCCCTGTGGGTGTAGGCAGCTGGGGGATCCTGTTCTTGTGCTGCAGAAGGAGATGCCCTGGGATTGCTTCTCTTCATCTTCTGGGCTCTGTCCTGTTCGTATTTCTCATGACTTCTCTTTAGAGAGAAAAATCATCTCCTGGAATTCCTCTGCAAGTCCAAGTGACCACGGTGTGTATTTCTTAGGTGTGGCTGGAGTGTGTGTGCACACTTGACTGTTCTACTGAGCAAGGAGCAGGGCTTGTTTGCTTGTGTGAGTAGGGGGATCCAAGCAGGAGGTGCAGGCTCCCTAAATTGTTAAATTAAAATCTCTGCAGAGCAACTCAGGGGAATCTCATGTCCCAGGAGCATTAATTAAACTCCATGCAGCTTGTTGTATGCTGGGTCTTTTAAGTAGCTTCTTACAAACTAAGGACACAATTGCTCTGTGCCAACACTGTGAAGAGCACCCACAATGCTGCTGACTCTTGGTCTCTGTAATCGTCTTCTCCTGGGGGAGTTGGAGCTCCCTGCACACCTGGGAAGGGGCTGTGCTTGGTGCTGCTGCTCAAATCGCCTCTGAAGGGCTTGGATGCAAGATCTCCCTGTCAGGAGGGATTGTTCCCTCCCTGCGTGTGCTTTTATTGCCCTGCAGCTCGCGGGCCCCAGTGCGAAGGCAGGGCTGACGCAGTTGTCCTTGAGCGGTGACCTTGGTGCTGCCCCTCTGCTGACAGCCTCTCCAGGGCCCTGGCTGTGGCTGCCTGGCCTGTGCTCCTTGGCTTCTTCCTTTGAACTTCTCCAAGGGTGCAGATGAGCCAGAGCCCTTCAGAAATGGGCTTTTGTTGCCCTTGTTGCCTGCTACCTACAGGAAAACACTGGCACCCCAAATGAGGCAATAAGGCAGATGTTTTCCTGCAGCTCTGCTTTGTATTTTGCTGGCCTACAGCTGTTCTTTGGGAGAGCGTGGTGGTGAGAGCAAACAGACATGAGGCTTTTGCTGGGTGTTCCAGAACCATCTTTTCTTGCAGTCATTAGCACAGGAAATATTTGAGTTGGGAGTGTGGTTCATCTTTCCCAATTCCATGACCTTGGCATCTAGTCCAGGATAGCCCACAGATGGATAAGAATTTGGTCTCACTGCCCCTCTTCCTGCCTAGAGAGGGATGAAGAGTGGCTTTGAACACGGCATTAGTTGCTGTGAAAGGGTAAATTTTTCATTGATGAAATGCAGAGGTAAGTGACCATGTACCTTATCCCAGGCTTCTTGCTGCATGAGTGGTTTTTGGCTTAGCTTGGGGTTCTTCATGGAGTCTAGATTCTTCTTCTCTGCTTGTGAATTTTCTGATGAGTGGTATGAACTGTCTCTGATTGTTTTTTTCTTTTAACTTCTGCCTGCTCCTCCTCTCTTCTCCTGTCCAAACTTTGTGATCATAAATTATTCCAATACTGTGGGGTCTCTAAGACCCATTGCTGACATCCAATCTCCTTTTATTGAGAGTGAGAATTTAAAAATTAAAATTTTTCCAGTTACCATTTCTCTGCATAGATATTTTAGAAAACTAATTTTTGTCAGGCTATTGTTACTATTAGGCTTAAATAACATAGGTGTCAACAGTATTTAATGACTGAGCTGTTAACTGTGGATGTGCTGGAGGTGTTCCCTTCTCTGCTTGGTGACAAGAGCAGGATTGCTGCTGTAGGAGGACGTAGGTCCTGATGATGCAGGTCTCTTCTCTCCTGTATGCCTGAGATGCAGCACTGTCACAACAGATTCTTGCTGCAACTCCTCTGGGCATTACTTCTGAAGGAGCAGGAGAAGGTGGTGGGTGTTCTTTATTTTTCCTTGCAACACTCCTGAATAGTCCAGGTTTTGCTTAGCTTGCTGCTGTGTTCTAAGTGGAGTTATCTGAGGTCTTTCCTGTATCTCTGTTTCAATCTGCATTTCTTCACTCTGTAAGTGTCAGTTTGGTGGATAAATTTATGTGCATCAGTTTCTCATAGCTGCTCGTGTGCATCAAGGCCCCTTTTATCCCGTTGATGTGATTATTTCAGAGACACGAAGGCCATTCTGTGCTCATTACATTGTAATTGAGATCTTTGTTATTTGGCGGTTTTGCTCCTTTGAGCAAATCTCTGTCTAGACTGTCTGTGCTTCTTCACAGTTCTCTTCCAGACCCGAGTCCAGCTCTGACATCTGAGGCACAGTGAGTACTGGGAAATGCCCCCAGAAGGGGAGCTGCCTTTCCTGCTGGGAAAAGCTGCCCCGTCCCTCTTTCCCTCCCTGGAGCCATTCTGATGGAATGCTGGAGGAAATGCTGGTGTTTTCTGAGGCTTGTCTTTGCTGCTTAGACTGAGTAGCACAGCGTGCTAGAGCCCTGGTCCCTGCTTGGTGTCCTTTTGTTAAATAGAGCTGTGCTGACTGTGTGACATGCAGGTCTGGTCTGCCACTAAAATGAAAACCTCTCTCCAGATGAGTCAGGGCTAAACTTGTCCTGTCATCAGCTGATCACCTCTCAGTGCTACCTGCTCATTTGTATGCAGCTTTTGCAGTGTCATACACTCAGGGTTATAGCTCACCGGCCCATGAGGCTGTAAGGCACCTTGTACTTCATCTCATTTATGTGAAACAGGTTTTCTTTTTCATCTCTTGCCAGTTAAATTATCCCAAGGTGTCTCTGCTGAGAGCCCGGTTGAAGGGGTTTATGTCCAGTGCTGTCCAGAGGTGTGAGGGGACTTGAACTCCATTGGCAGTGACAGCAGAGGCAGAGCTGAGCTGAGAGAAAAGTCTGATTGTGTGATTTGTGGTAATAGATAAAAGAGAGAGAAAAGAATGGGATTAACAGAACAGCTACCATCTGTTTGAATTTTGCTCTGGTTTTATTTTGATCAAGCCAAGGAGAGCAGAGAAATGGCACAATAATGATCCAGGCAAGTGCTGGTGGTCTGGGATGACTGTGAGGGCAGCGATGGCAGGGAAGGGACACAAAAGGCTTGGCAAGGGGCAAGTAGCCATAAGGAGCAAGTGTGGCCACCAGAGTCCCCTTGGCAAAGGGCACGTGCAGGCCTCTGCAGGACATCGGCTGAGGCACGGCCAAGGAGAAGCCGATGGCACTGGGAAAGCGGGAATGTAGAAGGGAACCACTGAGATAATAGGCAGAATAATTAGTGTGAAGTTCCCGGTGTAATTGGCTGGAAACCCCCCGTTGCACACTGTGCTGTGCAGGCAGCATCGCCGTGTCTGCCGGGGCTGGGGAGCTCTGCCCACGTGTCCACGTTTGTTTGCTCCTGCATTGGCTTGAAGGGTCTGAGAGCCACGGGGTGGAACTGGAGGTTCAGCCTGGGCAGGGAGCAATGCTTTTGAGCAGTTCTGTGCTCCTTGACTGACCTACTGACCTGCACAAGAGCTCTGGGTATGATCTGTTCTCTGGGGGCTCTGGTGCCTGGGATTGTACCCTGCTCTGCTCGGGGAAACCAGAGTGTGAGGTTACAGACGCTGCAGCACCTTCTAGCCCAGGCTCTTCCTCTGAGTGGAATAAGGTGGGCTGGAGGGCAGCAGTGCTTCTCTGGCTCTGTCTTAGCCAAATCTTTTCAATTTGGATCTTAGCAAACGCTTTGTACTGGTCTTTTGAGCCTGTGGTTTGCAAGCTAAAGGTGAAGCATTGGTTCAGATTTCAGACAGACATTGATTTCATCAATTCAGACATTTCAGGCATTGGTGAAGAGTTGAATGGAGAGAATGACAAATGAGTTTGGATTTCAGGAACCAGCTACAGACTATCATCATATTTCAACATTTTTTGTGTATATCACCATGTTCTCTCACTGATAATTTACCTTGGAACTTGCTTGCTGTTATTTTTTCTACATGGAATGTCTGCTGATGTAAAAGAGAAGCTTCAAAGTTTTTCCCAATGGTCTATATGTGTGCCCTGACTGTGAATGATGTTAGTAATGCCTCACAAGGACAGACATTTCCATGGGAAGCCTTGGAGTCCCAGAAGTTTTGGTGGAAAAGATCTTAAAAGTCTCGAGCCCACCCATGCTCAAAGCTGGGCTGTTGCTGAAGCTGTGTGAGATCAGCTGTGGCTTTGGCTGAGCTTTAACCACCTCTGAGATGGGGTACAGGAACAGCTCAGGAATCAGAGAATTGTTAAGGTTAGAAAAGACCTCCAAGGTCAGTGAGTTCAACTGCAAACCAAACTCTGCCACATCCACCACTAAACCATGTCCCCATATGCCAAATCCACACTTCCAGGGATGGTGACTCAACCTGAAGAATCCACACTTCAGTTCCCAATTTTACATTTGTGCGTTGCTGCAGGATCAAATCTCCTGCTTTTTGCCCGGGCAGAAAGGCTGAGGGTGGTGCAAGGAACATTCATGAGGTGCTTGTCCTCTTGGATGGGTGAACCACAGTCACCCCTTTGTTCTTCACAGTGGGGTTGTGGGCTGATCATAGAGCTCCCCATGTGATGGAACCTCCTTGTGACCACCTCGGGGGGGTGTTACACAGTGAGGAGGACAGTTTGGGCAGCTGCCACCCCAAGCCAGTGTCCAAAGGTACCACCTAGGACCTAAGACATAAGAATCTGAAAACAGGGAAAACCTCAGCATTGTCTGTTAGTCTGTAAAGATTCAGACCTTCTTCTTGCACAGCTCCAGCTCCAACTCCAAAGCATTTTGCATTTGACTGTGCTGAAATTTAGTCCTAGGGAGATTAAATTACTCTTTCTTCATCGTTCATATTGATCCTCTGTTGCTGGCTGTGGATGACAAATGGACTTCCCACTCCTTCCAGCCCGAGTCACTCTGGGAAGTGCATTGGAGCCTTGTTAACCTTTTCTCCTCTGGGAGGTGGTGCATAAAAGCATTGGGGAAGATCCTGGCTACACAAGTTGGGATGTGCAAAGCAGACGGTGTTATTTGGAGGTCAAAGCCATTTTGGATATTTAATGGCCATTATAAGCCTTTTGCAGCAGCTTGAACTGGAGAGGATGTTCTGAGGCTGAGCAGCTCTGAAGGAGGAGGGCAGTGGATGTGATGCCTTGGTATGGAGAGTGTTCCTTGTTGCAGCAAGTCTGGTCCTTTCCCCAGGAGATGCTGATGTGTGCAGCTCACAGCTGCAGTCAGCACTGGGTTGCTTGGCTTGCCAAGGAGGTGGGTGGCTGTTTCACCTCCCTCCTTGCCAGTCTCCACCCTGCCCGATGGCAGCTCAGCCCAATTGGGATGCTGCAGACCTTGGAGAGACTGTTCTACAAACCTGGGGAAATGGATGGCTGGGGAAAACCTGGCTCTAGTATCAGCTCTCAGGTCACAGGTCTGTTTGGTACAGCAATGACAGTATCAGAACATTGCAAATGCCCTGGCAGTTGGAATCTGGAGGTTACTGAATTCCAATACCTTGACCAAGGATTCCTTTCCTGTGTGGGTTGCAGGCAGAAAGCTCTTCCCTGGTTGGAATATTCATAGGTTTGCTCTTTTACGTAGGCCTGGATGTGTGATAAGGGTTGAGCTCACCCTGCTTGCTTGGTTCTTAATATATTCCAGTAAAATCTCGGTCATCCACAGGAATCCATCAGAGAAACAGGAATTGCTCTTGTGGGAGGTGGTGGGTGTCTCTCAAACAGGCATGTCCAGTAATCCAAATACTGACATAACTGGGGCTTGAAAACTTAGGGTTCAGGTAGGTAAAATGGGCATTAACATCCACGTCTGAGCTGTGATGGCTCTCAAATGGGAGCTTTCAGGACCTGGAGGAGCCTGGAGTGGTGTTTGGCTCTGGGGTGGAGATGCCTCCCTCCTGGGGCTGCTCGTGAGGGCTGGAGTTAGTGAGCCAGTTTCTGTGTGTATCACAGATTTCATGCAGGTCCATTTCAATTCTATTTTTTCATTTTTGAAACTAAAGCCTAAACTAGTCCTGGACTTCTAGTCCAGCTCTGTTTCCCCCTTTGTCCAGGGGAGCACTGAGGTTCCACCAGAACCAGTGGAGTCCTGGTGTGTAACGAGGAGGCCTCGCTGCTCTGGCAGTGCATTTCCATGGGTGCCACCTGAGGCTGAGGGAATGGCAGCTGCAGGAGCACAGCAATGTGTTGGTATTGAACTGTTCCTTCTTTCCTTGGCCTTTAAGCATCACAAATCTCTCTCTCTCTCTCTCTCCTTGGCTGCCTCTTGATGCTGGGACACAGAGCGGCAAGGGCTTTTGGAGAATACCTTTCACAAAACCATCCTGAAGGCAGAAACGGCTCAGGTAAGAGAACTGATGTGCCTTGGTTATGCCCATGTGTGCCTGCACCTATGGTTAATAGCCTTAGAATGAAAATGCATTTATTTATCTGTCATAAACAGAGTCAGAGCTTAGCAGGGGGAGTTGCCCCCAAGGAGAAAAGGCAGTTTGGTGACCCGAGGCTTGGTGGGCTGTGGAGATGAGTTCAGTTAGGGGACAAGTGCCCTGTCATAAATTCACCCCTGCAGCTGAAGTCCTTAGGAGAGGCTGCAGCTGGGAAGTGACAGCACTGCACAGGGCTTCTGCACTGGTTTGTGACTCCTGGGTCTTGCTTTCACTGGGGTATAAAAAACAGGTGAGTTATATTCTGTTCACTGGTGTGAAACCTTGTTGGCAGAGATGACATCTGGATTTTTTCCCAGTGTTTGCTTCAACAGGGGTTAAACTGAGATTTGCCTACATGAGGGCACTACATGTGCCTGCTAATGTGTCAGTATTTTCCATGCAGATATTGTCCCCATCAGCATATCATGAGTTCTGCTTGATAGGCAGGAGAGCAAAAGATAAACTCACCTAAGTTCTAACGGGGCTGTGTCTTCTCTGTGACGAAAGAAAATATTGCACAGACAGTAAATTAATTTCAAAACCTACAGAAAATCCTGTGGAATCCACAGAAAGTCTGTGTGAACAAGTAACAAATTGTTCTGTGCTTTTGAACTGCTATGCAGGGGATAAAGTTATTAAACAGAATGTAACATAGAGTGATGTTATCATTTTAGGTAAGCTGTGTGTGTTTAAGCCTGTACAGGAGATGCCTCTTGCTATAAGAGCAGTCACACAGTCCTTGGCAGCCAGCTGAATTGTTTCCTTTTTCCTTGGATCTGTTCTAATGACCTTTAAGTTGTCCTTGGCTGAATTGTGCCAAGGTTGTAAATGGAAAGGCTCTAAGACAACATCCTGAGGTTTTCTTGGTTTCTTTTCATGAGTAATTCCAGTGACACCTTTAGTTACGATATTTGGTCTAAGAGCAGCACATGGAGGTAGGAAAGGATGGGAAGAGAAAGGCTGGGGTTTGGTGCAGCTCAATTGAGGTGTCTGTGGGGCAGCAGGAAGGGGGGACTGGACAGACTGTGCAGAGACTGGCTGGCAGGAACTTCCCAGAATGGAAAAACTTGAATTTTTTTGTTCCTTCCATCATGGCCATTTCTGCAGGTGCTTCTGTCACCTGGAGTCTTTGCCAGGCTTTTTTTGCAGCTCCCCCAGCCCAGTTTGCAACAGGGAGAAGTGTTGGCTGCTGCTCACTTTGTAGCACCCTTGTAGTGCCTGTGGTGTCATGCTGGGGCCAGGCAGAGGATCTCTGATGGAGTCAAGAGGAAATTACAGATGTGTTCAGGTGCCTGAGGCCTGGGCAGCCCTGGTGAGATGGAGGGAGTGGGAGCCTCTCTGATGTGCATGAAAAGCTGCTGTTAACTCATCCTTGGGGTGCTCCTGGTTGCTCTGACTGTCAGTAAGGAGAGCATGGCAAGGGAGCTGATGTGGCTCCTGGATCATGTGCCACATCCTCCAGAGCAGCATTTCAGCCCTGTCCGTGCCTGTGACATCCATAAGCTCTCCAGGGAAGCCTTTTCACCTACTACCTCTTGGTGTATCAGCCTTGAGATCGTTATTGAATCCAGGAGAATTTAGTTGCCACAGGCAAGAATCAAGCAGTGAGAGACACACTTGGAAATACCACAATACTTATGAGATCCTTAAGTATTCACTTGGAAAGAAATAAAATTCCCTAGAAATTACTCTAAATTCTGAGGAAGAGAGGAGGGAAAAAAAAAAAGAATCGTCATTTTTAAGTCATCTTTTGAAATTCTGCAATGTATAACTTAACACAGTCTGTAACACTTCTTTATAAATAACCCCAGTAGGAAGGTTGCTATCCAATAAAAAAATGCTGTGAGTAGAAAATTTGGCTCCTTTTAGTTCATCCCAGCAGCTTGATCACAGGGAAGTCACATCTTTCCTTCCTGCAGAAATTCCATCTCAGGATCACTTGAGCAAGTTCTGGAGGCTTCACCTTTGGCTGGGCAAGGTGCTGGAGCTGCAGCCTGAGCTGTCACCCAGAGGCTGCAGGGAAGCAAAGGAAGGGCCTCTGCTGCAGAAGTTGAAGGTGTAGCATTGATCCAGAGTGACCTGAATCAGCTCCAGCTCCTCAGAGAGCAGACAGAGGCAATGTGAGCAGAATTGAGTCCTCAGTGCCTGTGTGAACCTGTCAGCTCTGAGCTTTCACCTTGTGCCTGGTGGGACAGGCCTGTTTCTGCTGTCATAACCCCAGCTGTGCAGCCAGGTGCCCCTTGCACTGCCAGCACACTGAGCTGGGATGAAGGCTCTGGCCTAAATATGACTGGAAGAAGGCAGGCCTTGATTCAGTCCAGAAAACAATGGTTTAAGAAATGTTTAAAGTCACTGATGAATGCAGTGAGGGAAAAGAGGTGTGGATTTTGAGGAGCAGAAAGGTGGTGGAGCCATCCGTGGGACAATGAAGACATAAATGGAGGAGGGAAGGGCAGGATCCTCCTTTTCTGGACCTTTCTCTCTCCCTGTGCAGGGCAGTCCTCAAGCAGAAAATGAGGCAGGTGTGAATCTTTGGGATGTCTTTGTTGCTTTATCTGCTGGTTCAGCTCCCCAGCAGAGGGGTGAAGCTCTGACACCCCAGGCAGCCCCAGGACATCCATGGAGGTGTGGAGGGAGATGCTGAGTGTGCATTCACTGCCCCAACTTGCTCCACTTTGCTGCACTTTGTTCTCTGAGGATTGTCCATTTTAGTTTGCCTTTTTTTATCTTTTTAGTCCCTTGACTCGAAGGAAAGGAAAAGATAAAATGGCTTTTGCATCCCTCATAACTTCACATTCCACAGCTGATCAAAGAGCTGCTTCTTCAATCATAACTTTTATTTGTGGTTTTATCCGCTGGAGAGCTTGTGTGTTTGTGTGTGGCAGAATGTCTTGGAGAAATTGGGGAGTGGTAATGAAGAGCAGGAGAGGGATTGCAGATCAGCAGGACAGGCCAGCTGCCTCCTCCAAGGGCTAAATTATGTGCAAGGCTGTGTTTTCCTTCTGTTTTCAGTAAAACAGCAGTGTGTTCATGCTCTGCTCGCTTTGCTGGGGCAAGGGTGTGTGGAGTTGCACAGCTGCACGAGGTAAGGAGGCTTGCAGGTGTTGCAGGGTGTACCTGGAGGGAAGAAAGGTGAGGAGGAGCATTTATTGGTCACAGCTTCTGATTCTTCCTGATGGGAGGCCCAGCTCCTAGACTGTGGAGCTGCCAGCCCAGCCTGGTTCAGAGTAAGCACCAGGTTGACCTTTTTCTCTAGAGGATATTTGTTTTGTCCCCAGGACAGACCCAGCAGTGCAGCTGGCCCTGCTCTCAGTGTATCCCTCTGCTGATGAGGTGGAGGTGGCCTTTTGGGGAAGAGCCTGTGCTCTGGAGGGAGTTGTAGGTGGCCTGAGCCCAGGACAGAGCCGGGATGTGAAATCTCATCTCTGAGGGCTTCAGGCTGCTTCCAGCATCAGCTAGTGCAAGGATGGTGTGGGTGTATCCTGCAACTTGCTGTGGAATATGGTGTTGGCTTAGAAAGGGAACAAAGACGTAGGTCACGGTGTTACCATGGAGATGATGAGGCCATGGAGGAGCTGCCACTTGCTCCTTTGGGTCGTGTCTCACAGTAGCAATTCCATCTATTCACATTAATGTTACAGGCCAGACTAAAAGGTTATTCACCTGTGAGACACCAGGTCAATGCTATCTTGAGTTTGTTTTCAAAGCCCGTTTGAGCAGGGAAGACTTAATTGGAACCATTTTGTCATAGCTAAGTGACCTTCTGGTTTCTCAGAGCAGCTCCCTTCCAGAAGCAGCCTTTGGCTGTTCCCTGTGGCTTTGCAATGAAGTGTGTGATGTTCCCTCCTCTGGAGCAGTGGGATTGGGGTGCCCAGTAAAGTCATGATGGGGCTGACTTGGTCAGGCCTCAGGTAACCCATAGTGAACACTCTGCAGGTCCTTGTGCACAGCTCAAGGAAGACAAGGAGCTGCTGCAGAGGGTCCAGCAGAGGCCACAAAGGTGATGAGGGGTCTGGAGCATCCCTCATATGAGGAGAGACTGCAGGAGCTGGGTCTGGTTAGTCTGGAGCAGAGAAGTCTCAGAGGGGATCTGGTTAGTGCACACTAGACACTTAGACAGGGAGCAGTGGCCATCAACTAAAACACAAGAAGTTCCACCTCAGCATGAGGAAGGTAGAAAGAGCTCTGCATCAGGTGCCTGGGGAGGGTGTGGAGTGTCCCTCTCTGGAGACATTCCAAACCCACCTGTGTTCCTGATCGCATTTCAGCCCTGAGCCCAGCAAGGTGGGCTGCCTGTCCTGTGCCAAGGGTCACATTGTTGGGAGAACAGAGGACATGGGGAGAAGCTCTGGATTACATCTCTGAGAGGGAGCAGAGGAGACCAGGACCTGGCAGCTCACCTGAGAGGCAGTGACAGGCATGTGGGAGGTCTTGGAATTGAGATTGCAAGAGAAACTTCTCAGCTGTGCCATTTGAATGGTTGTTGTGGGTTTTGTAGTGCCCTTGGCTCTGGCCAGAGCACCTCTCTGCTCTCCTCACTGAGGGAATCACCTGGATTCCTCCTGGTGCAAGGTAAAAACATCATTAACCTCATTCCTATTTCTATGAGCAGGGCCACGTACATACGCCCAAAAACTTTCCATTCATCTTCAGTGACTATGGCAGTTCTTTGATATAAAGTTGGAACTTAATTGTCATAAACATCAGGTCCAGAGAGTTCCAGCTGAGGAGGAACAGGGAAGAAAGAACTGTCTCTGATTTTCTTTTTTTTTGCTGAGATGACAGATGTTCTTTTAATATGGTTTATCTGGATTCCCCTTTGCCACTTTGCCTCTGATGCTGGAGCGGAGGCTTTAAATCTAAGGTGCTTTAATCATCAGTTTAGCTGCTAAATACAGGAATAAATTTGGAGCTTCTGTCTGTGCCTTGTGGCTGTATTCTGCCTTGATTTATAAACTTCTCATCCCACGGGGTCACAAGGCATTCTGCAGCAGAAAGGAGTTTGGCTCCACAGTTGTGGATGGGCATCAGTCAGCTGGGGCTGTTCCCAGCGTGTTCCCTGCTCTGGAGAAATGGGGTGGCAGTGAAAGGAAAAGGTGCAAGTCCTTTCTCAGTTCCCTAAGTCAGAGTGAGTGCTCAGACTAGAGTTCCTGAATGAGAAAGGATGTATTGTAAATATCTAATAATAATAATAAATGCCTAATGATCAGGAACTACATGTACTGGGAATGTGGGCTCTTTTTTTCCCCAAGACACTGCCAGTTGCCCAGCACTTTTTATTATCACTGCTGTCAGTCTTTGGTCATGCATGTGCCCTGTGTTGGGCAGTGCTGCGTGGAAGGTACAGAAAGAAATGTCAGACAGGAGCAAGTGAAGTCAAAAAGACAAAAAGACTCATGTTCAGGTACGTAATGAGGAGGGTGAGAAGTGGTTTGGCCCTCAGGACTGGATGCCAAACCCTGCTGAATGGAAATACCACCTGGGATGTTCCTGATACAGATGGACACATGATCTACAGATCAAGCAGGTTGGTCTTCTTCCCTTTGCCTTGTGCTCAGTCCCTCATGCACAACAAATCCATGTAGAGCAGGAATCAAGGTGAAAGGAACCTGAGGAACCTGATTTATCTGGTCCTAGGTAGCTTTGCAGCTGTGTGAGACACAGGTGTTGCTGCTGAGGGGAGCAGAGTCGTTCCCAGGGCAGCTCGGTTGGCACCAAGGAGGAGGGAGCTGTGCCAGGCTGCCCAGTCACGCTGGCCAGGGCTGCTGTGGCAGGTGGCTGGAGCAGCTGGGAGTGGGAGAGGTGGCAAGAACGATGTGAAAATGAAAAGAAGGGAGCAGCAGCTCAAGGCGAGGGTGTTAACAGCAGCCTGCTGCAGCTGACTCCAGAAGGCAGCTCCAGTCATTAGTGCCCCTTGGTTCTCCTCACCCAATGCTCCTGTGGCTCAGCTCTAATCCAGCATTGATTTCTGGACCAGCCTGAAGTGGTGTGGATTCTGTTCTACAGGCCAATCATTCATTATGATGGATGTTTGAATCTCTTTTCCTTCCACACTATTTTTTTTTCTGTAGGTAAATTCTATATTAACGACTACTCTTGAATAAAGCTTTGCACTCCCTTTGCATATGAAGTTGCTTCTCCAGTGTGTAATTACTGAAGGTGCTAAATTGAATGAAAATGAAGAATCATCCAATTGTTTTACAAAAAGAAAGCACATTGGTGTGCTGGCAGCCCTTTGTACTGTAGATCATGAAAATTCCTTTGTAAGTACAAGTGGAAACACCTTGAGGAGGGGACAAGTAAGGTAGGAAGAAAGAATGATGCTCACATTTTGCATGCTAGATCAGGTAAGTAGTTTATTTCAAATATATCTGGTCAATCCTGCCAGGATTTCAGTAAACAAATGATGCTTATTGAAAGCAGTCATGGCTCCCTGAAATGTCTGTAAATTTTATGGAGCTGAAAAGACCTTAGTGCCTATAAAACAGAGACTGGAATTGGTCTCTTTGCTCTTGTGATCATCAACATTTTCAGGCATATTATGCTTTGGGGACCTCATTTTTCCATTTAGCCACAGATCTCGGGGCTCAGGAATTCCTGGATCTCTGAATTCCAGAGCTGTCAGTGTGTGAGTGAAGGTGACACTCCTGTGTGTTCCCTCTGAGGAGGCTGTGCATCTTCCATACAAGTATCAGTTTCAGGAGGAGCAGGGGCAGCTGTCAGCCACGATTTTGTGGTGTCTTAAGAAATCTGTAGCGTCACTCTGCCCACACAGATTAGTAAATTTGACAAGTTGAGACGAGTACTTAGAGCTGGCCTTTGTTTTTAATTTTAAAAATGGTTTGTTTGGCACTATTAGCAAGCACAGATCTTGGCAGATCTCAAGGAGTCATTTGGTGGTGTTTTCCCAAGATATGCCCACTCTAGAGCAGAGTTAATCCTGGAGCTGGGGAGGATCTGAGCTGCTGGAGAGCAGATGCAGGGGACCTGCTGCCTCTTGAAGGGTGACACGTGGTTTGAGAGACTCTGGGGCCTGTGTCACTGTTCTGTGACACTGCACCTGCAGCTGGGTACAGGCTTTGGAATGCCAGCCTGTGTGTGGAGCACCTTCCTCCACTGGAATGGCCCTTGTTGTTCATCAGGCTCCTCCTGGAGCAGGTGCAGACGTCCACACTGACCATGGGGCAAAGTAGAGCCCTGTCAGCTTTTCACATTACCTGGGCAGTGTCTGAGGGGCACTACCCCTCATACACCTGGGCATGGATTTTTGACTTTGTGTGAAGCCTGGACAGAACATCAGCTGCAGGTTCAAAAGGCACAGCTCTTTCTTCAGGACTCCTGCAGTGTCTTCTCCTGGCCAGCTCCAGTATCCAGAGACTGTGAAGAGATAAATGAAAGGAAACCTGACTTGTGTCAGCCTGAGCAGCCCTGACAGTCCCCTCTTGAGCAGAATGGCCAGACTGATTTATTTCCTAATGGTGCTGGAGGAAGTTGTAGCTCAAGCAGAAAAATGAGGCAAGGGTGACACCCTGTACCAGTTCCAGCTCAGTTCTGGTTGCAAACAGAGCAGGGGGAGAGGCCCTGGGCAATGTGAGCATGTTCCAGCATGGATTTCAGATTCAAAAGCTGACTGTGTATGGCCTCAGCTTGGGTGGCTCCTCTCAGAGGGGCACAGGAGCACTTCATGGCAGAATGTGGCAGCAGTGAAAGGTCCACGTTACACACAGACACCACCACTCTTGTCTAGAGGTCGTTCTCCTCTTCTTCCTTCACTTCATGGCCAATTGCAAGGTAGCCAAGCCTTCAAATTGTGGATGAGTTCTTCCAGGTCATGACTCAGTAGCTAAAGAAGTTTCGTTCCTTAAATATCTACTAAAGTAAAGGCTTGGGTTTGCTTTCTGCCCCTGTTTTAAGTGTTTCTGTCTGTGCTGGACACTAATGATTTCATTTTTTGGGTAGTAGTCACATGAATAATGTATTCCCTGCTGAGCCTTTTTGCCAGTCCCTGAGCTGCTTCCCATCTGAAGGGAAGTGTAAGAGGTAATTAACAACCACTTGAAAAAGGATTAGCAGGTGGGTGGGAGCTACTGTTGGGTTCATGCATGGAATTGCCATGGAAATGCTGAGATTTCCTGGCACTTCATCCAGTGTGTGGGCTCCAAAGATAGTTGCACTCATGGGCCTCTCTCCTTTGGATCTTCCTACCCTGCAAAGGGAGCGGCTGTGTTTTCTTACGCCCGTGGCCATCTGTGAGACCGGGGCGTGCAGGGAGCGGGGTGCTGTGCCACAGCTGTCAGCTGAAGTCTTGCTGTATTTCTTTTCATGTCAAATCACCTGGCAGAAAATCAGGAGTTAAAAAAAAAACCCAACAAAAAAACTTCATTGGTTTGCCCCTTTGCCAGTGTTCTGAAAGAACTTAATGCACCAAACAGAGCTTGGCACTTGGAGAAGGTGGTGCTGGTCCTTGTCCCGCAGACTGTACCAGCTCCATAGCCCTCGTGTGGCTGAACAGGGCTGCAGCTGAACCAGGGCTGTCTTGCATGGCAGCATTTTTGGGTTGTGCTACGAGACCTGCATTTGCTTCTAGAGTTGTTGGGTGGCCACACATGCTTAAAATACCGGGTCTCTCTGTGAGAAATATCTCTCATTGCAATGAATGTTTAGAAGGTGGTGATGGGCACGCGTTCAGCTGAAACGCTGTGGGGACCTCCTGATTTCTGTCTCCCCTACGCAGCAAAGAGCCTTCTGAATTGTCTGCAGGGCTTTGCTTTAAGGAAAACGTGCCTTTTGTTTCAGATCACCTGCTAGCAGACTCCTACATCGGGCAGGAGGACTCCCCTGAGATGCAGCAGGTGGCCCAGAACAAGCGCAGGCTCTCGGTCATCTCGGACGGCAAATTCGAAAGGAGCTTCACGGAGGAGCAGGCGGAGAAGATGCCGAGCGAGGGCCCCAAGCCACGAGTCTACACCATCTCCGGCGAGAGGCCGATGCTGTCGGAGCACGAGAACGACAGCGTGGAACTGGTGGTGATGAAGGGGGCTGCCCACGAGGAGTGTCACCACGGCCACCACGCGCACGGCGCCGGCGGCTCGCACGGCGTCCGGCACTGCAAGGCCTGGCCGGGCGGCCGCCAGGGCTCCAAGGAGTGCCCCAACTGCACCAGGCTGGCTGCCCCTTCCCAGCAGTCCATTGAGCTGGAGCAGCACCCGCCTGGTGAGGCTGGGTGGCACAGGAAAAGGCTGGAGAGGATGTACAGTGTCGATCGAGTGTCTGGTGAGTGACACCAGAGGTGACACCCATCTCATCCCAACGCAGGGGTTTTGATCCTGGGCCCTTCTGGTTCTGTGGGGCAGCATTCCTGCAAAGGGATTGTCAAAGGAGGAGTTTGAAATATGCTGAGCTCAGTTAGAGGCCAGCTTGTCTTGCTCCTGGTCATCAGCAGCTGCTCTGGCTTTAAAGCTGTAAAACACATTAAGGGATTGTCAGTCTTTTGAGATGAGTAGTCCGTGAGAAGCCTGTACAGAATTGTTGGCTAAAAAGGAATTTATACAACTTCTCCTTTGCTGCTTCTGTGGGTTGGAGGCTTCAAACAAGTAATTCATTTGCAGTCTTGAGTTGTTCTGCTTTGCTTCTGTCTGAGTGTTTTGGAGGAGAGCAGACTTTGGGACTGCATCAGAAGGAAGTCTTTAGCATACTGGAATGCAGTTTCATTTAACATCTATATTTCCTTGGAGTGCTTTGAATCAAGACTTGACGTAAACTGTGAGCTGAGAAGGAGTGTCTGGTACAGCTTTCTATAGATTTCTTGGAAGCTGCACTTCAAAGGAAAGCTCCCCAGTTGCACTTAGCATTTTTTGCATCTGTAATTGCAGCCACTTTCTGTACTTTTCAGGGAATAATCTGTAGGATATGATGATCTGTACAAAACATTTGATAAGATAGCTGGTCTGTGGTAATTATGCCTGCAGTGGGCAGTTTGACTGGGCTTGGGCCAGTGAAAGTGAATTAAAACATACCTTGACAATGCCAGAATATTAAATATTATCAGATCTGAAGGCTTGAATGACTGAGGCAAGACACAGTCAGCAACATGGAGCAAAGCATTAGGCAAGGGAGCCACAAATTGGGTGTAAAGCAAGATGACAAATCAGGTATCCCCCAACCCCAGGAATCCAGTCCTCTGAGATCTCACAAGTGTTGTGGCAGTGGATTTCAATACCACTCTGATTCCCTGCCTGCCTGACTCCAGCCTGGGAGTTCTCAGCAGGAGCTGCTGCTTGGGCAGGTTCCTCTTCCATATATAATTGCTGACTCACTTTGCTTTTTGCCTTAGTGGTCATTCAGTGAAGGTGATGCAGAGTTGTGATGCCCTGGAATTAGGAAAAAAACCCACAACTGGTTTGGGCAGGGCAGCTAACAGAGAGAGGTGACTAAATCAGCTCAGTTATCTGCAGGTTGTGGAGCTGATGGGTGGTTTGACTTCCAAACCAGGGAAACTCCTGAAGGCCAAGTCACCAGGAGCAGCTGTGAGAGGGGTTTATTGAAACTTCAGTGACAGAAAAAGAGAGGATATTTCAGGCTTACTGTTCTGAGTGGAAGGTAAATACTTTTCTACTGGGCTGTGTCAGAAAGAGCTGGAGGAATGGGACAGTTTAAATCAGTGGTATAAAGGAAAAGGCAGAGACAGGAAAATGCCCTTCATGAAAAATGTTTCTTTTCCCTGCTTTTTTTTTTCCTAGTTCAAATGTCAGTTCTGTAATTCCTGGATTATTCTAATCTTCAGTGTTTAAGATAAAGCTTTTATTCTTCACTTAGTATCCTGATAGACAGGCTTTGCAGGAATTTACAGAACGCTCGGTAGCAGTGTGCATTTATATGAGGAGGATGAGACTTGAGCTCCTGTTCAGTCAGGTCAGGATGCTGAAGGAAAAGTCCTGTGAGAAAAAGCTCAGTTTTCTGGGGAGGAAGTGTGGCTGTCTGAAGGATGTCTGTGCCTGCTGGGTGCTCAGGCTTTGCTCTCTCTCTCTTGCAGATGATGTCCCCATACGAACCTGGTTCCCAAAAGAGAACCTCTTCAGTTTTCACACTGCTACTACAACTATGCAAGCGTAAGTGAAACCACTGCTGTGCATTTTGTTCTGTACCTCAGAGTCTGGATGTGCTCAAAGCTGAGAGCCTGGAGCAGGAGTTGTGTCTTTGGCGTCACTGTTCAGGGATGAGAAAGAACGAGGGAAACTTGTCTCTTGTTAATTTTCTTTTCCCATTTCCTAGTTCTTCGCTACTGCTCTCATTTGTTTGGTTTTGCCTTCTTTAACTCCTTGGGCTACCCAGCTCTTCTCTGCTTCCCTGGTTTTGTCTGTGACACTGTGGCCTGGCTGCCTCTGCAGAGCAAGGGTCCTGTGGATCACCAGCTGAGACCCTCCACCAGCTGCTTCTGCTGCACACACTTCCCAAGGGAAGATTATTCCAGGCTTGTCCTGCATCCCTCACTCCAGAGAGGTGCCTTCCTCTGGGATAAGAGCCCTGCAGCTCTGCACTGGTGTGCATGTGTGAAGAAGTATCAGTAAAAGCTCTGTAAAGTATGACGGGGTGTGAGTTAGGAGGAGCCTTTCCCTCCACACTCCGTGCAGGTTCCTGGCTGCTGTGTTTGGGAGGAGGCAGCTCTCAAAGGGCTGAGCAGGGTAAGGGAAGCCTTGTGTCCAGGTTGTACCCTGGTTGTACCAGGTCTCCAGGTTGTTCTCCAGGCTTGCCAGCGAGTGCTGCCTTCCTGGTTTTGATTATTTCCTACCTGACTGGAAAACCCAGCCTTGTCACCTTTTTCTTGTGTGCTTCTTCCAATGTGTGGGACACCCTCAGCTCTCTGTTTTCTTCTTGTCTAATCTGATGTCCTTTTTGTACTCTTGCTTCTCTGACATTTCTTCTTCCCCTTGTACTTTTCCCTCACAAAATTCTGAAAAGAGGCTGATTATTTCTCTTGGGACAACCCAGACTGGATCAGACCTGGAAGGATTCATGTAGGGAGGGCTGGATCTGGAGTTGAGGACTGGGGTAGCTACATCCCCCAGATAAAAAACATTTTAAAATGTGGGTCCTGATCTGACCCACAAACCACATGCAAAATCAGCACATTTGGACATAACCTTTGTGTTTTCTGGGCAGATTTGATGCAGGATGATGGCCCATGGCTTACAGGGCTTGAAGGCCAGCTTCGGGTTGGTATGGGGAATGGTGCCCTGAGGGAACCCTTGAGGAGCACAGGTCCCTTGGTTGATGTGGCTCCTTGGTTAACATTTCTGGAGCTTCTGTGCTGCCTCTGAAGTGATGCAGAAACACCTGCAGAAGTTCAGGGCATCTCCCCAAAGCGCTTGGGTGGCTCCCCAGGTGCCCCTGGCCTCTGCTCCAGCATTTTCAACCTGCTGTGCCCGCTGCCTTCATGGAGCAGACAGTGTTTGTCATGGTGGGAGCAGCTCTCCCTGCTCCAGGAGCTCGTGGTGCTGCAGCCTGACAGGCCACACTCAGCTCCTGTGGATCTGCACGTTCTCTGGGTCTGCCTGGAGCTCAGTTTGCATCCAAGCCACATGTCAGCCCTGCCCCAGGGAGGACTGAGCTCAGTCAAGGAGGAGTCTCACCACTGAGAAATGTTTAATTTAAAAAGCAATTTCCTTCCACCTAACAAGAAATATTCCTTCTGGAGTGAGAATTCCCTTAGAACACTGGCTGGGGCTGAGCACTAATAAATTCCTCTTCTCTCTCTTTTTCCCTGCATCTCCTGGAATCTCTAGCATCTCGTAAGTATAATCTTCATTTTTTTTATTTCCTTGTCTGTTGGTGTCCTGGATAAACTCTCCTCTCCTGTCCATCATATTCACTCATGCTTTCCCTGTGCTAGGGGCTGTCTGTCAGCTGGCAGGAGGTTAGGTGGCTACACCAGGTAGGCCTATGTGGATCCCACCAAACCATCCTCATCCTCTGAGCGCAGCCCTCAGTTGCTGGCACGCTTTGTCCCTCTCGATGCTGGTGTGCAGAGAGGCTGTGGCTGCAGCTCCCAGGTCCATTCTGCAGAGCAGGGATGGTGGTTGCTCCTTTGGGCCACGTTCTGATGTTTGAGGAGCAGCCCTAGGGAGTGAGGAGCTGTGGTTTGAGTGCCCTGCCCTGACCCACACACGGTGCTGCCCAGCCCCATGGGCAGCTCCACCTCTGTTGTCTGCCAGGAGCTTCCGTCTGTGTGTCCCTTGTCCTCTCCACTTCCAAGCTGTGGACTTGGTTAATGCCTTGAAATGGTTTCCCAGGGCGTTCAGGGGCTACGCAGAGAGGAAGAGACGGAAACGAGAGAATGATTCTGCAGCTCTTATCCAGAGGTAGGGCCCCTTCCCCCTGCAGCTGTGGCTGGTGTTGCATGGGCCCTTGGGGTCACTGCTCAACCCTGGTGCCGTGACCGTGGCTGTCCCTGTCTCTGTGCTGTTCCTGGGGACACTGGCAGTGGCTCTGCTGGAGCTGTGGAGGTGAATGATGCTCAGGATAGCTGATCTCCATCTTCTTAAAGAGCACTGTTAAGTTGCTTTTTAGCATTCCATGTGATTTGTGCCTCAGGCAGGGAAATACTTTAAAAATTAAAGATGCAGTTTCCTCATTCCAACTTGGAATTTCATATCACAGAGTGGTTTGGATTGGAAGAAACCTAAAATAGGATCTAGTTCCAACTCCCCTGCCACAAGCAGAAATTTGTTTGAGGTTAGATGAATATTGTATGTGCCATTGCTGCATCTACAAATGCACCTCAAAAATCTAAGACCTAGGCAAAATTGACATCTCTAGTGACCAGAAATCTATTCTTAAGTCTTTCTTTTTCAATAATAGAAGGGAAATAAAAGTGGATGGGGACTGATTCCTTGTCCAGGTATTACAGGAGGGCCTGGTTTCCTTCTGCAGGCCTCCTCTGGCACGTCACTTACAGTAGGAATCAGAACTAGTTTGGTTTTTTAAATGTTCCAAGACTTGTGGCAGCCTACTAAGAAGGATAACACAGCATCTGTCATTGGTTTAAAACTGCCATGATCACTTCAGCACAGTTCAAAACCAGGTGAGAGAAAAACATCAGGTTTTCTTAACTGAGAAATTAGGAGGAAATATGGGGTTTTTAGCATCTTCAGAATGATGAGATTTTTTTCATCAGTACAGAGAAATAAAAATCCAAACTAAAGACACTCTAAACAAATAGACAGTGTATCTTTAAAAAGAGAGATTTCTCAGAATTTGTTAGGTAGTGGCAAGTCTTGGAGTGAGGGATGCCCAGAGCTTTGCCCACAGCTGGAGCAGCCAGAGAGGGGAGTGTGAGAGGTGCTGCCAGGAGTTCGGGTGGTGAAAAGGCTGGGCAGAGTCTGGTGACCCACTGCAGGCAGAGCTGGAGTGGGGCTGCAGTGTCTTGGAGCCCCTCTGGCTGGGATGGATACCCTGGAGGTGCCATGGGGCCATGCAGACCATGAGGCACACTGGAGGAGAAAAGGGAGTGATACAGACATTTCATCACTGAAACTCGAGGGATTCTGGTTGTGTCACCATGGATGGAGGGATCTCAGAAGGGATCAAATGCCACAGGTGCAGGAGGCAGGCAGGAAGGCTGGGCAGCTTTGGGGAGCCTGACAGCTTTTGGTTGCAGGCTTTCCCAGGGCCAGTCCTGTCGTGCTGATATGCAGGCACAGAGGAGCCTGAGGCAAGAAGCCCTCAGAAGGACCTAGACGTTCAGTGTGGCCACGTTAGGAGGCTGTCCCAGACTTGCACTGCTCTTCCAATGTGCTGTTTTTTCTAGAAGGAAAGAGATGGAGCAAAAGGCTTTTGTCCCATTCTGTATTTAGTGCAGTGGTTAACCTTCAACAGCTGGATTCTCCTTGGAGCTGCTCTCAGTGGTGTTTAGGAGATGGTATTTAGGTCTCTCATGGGAGAGCCCAAGCTGACCAGGCAGCAACCTCCTTCCATGGCAAAGGCTGCTTTGCCCCTCTTCCCCCAGGGTCTGAAGAAACTCCTCTGTGGAGAGGACATTTAACAGAAAATGGGTTTTAATCCAAATGCCAAAAGCCGAAAGGATGTGACAGTGGCCTTGGGCAATTAACATTGGTGCTCAGTTTCTGGTATGATCTCAGCCTCACAACAGACCACAAAGATTTCCATATAATGTATGTCTAAGACATTTTTGTGTAAAGAACAGCCCTGGTTCCCTTAAAATGTTGTATTTATTTGTATTTTAATCTAATGCACTGTAAGACAGACGCAGTTGTCAGTGGTGGTGCACTCCAGAAGGCTTTGTACAAAGAGCCAGGCCAGGGATTTGTCTAAAGGGGCACTTGTCTGATCCACAGCAGTGAATCTTCATGTACCCAAGCAGAGACAAAATAAATATTTGGGAAACATTAATAGCCCAAGCATAGACAGAAGTTTGGCATGGAATAATGCTGTTCCAGCTGCTGGTTTTGCTTCTTACTGAATTTGGAGCCTGATGACAGCAAGGGTTCCCAGGCCAAAGAGGGGAAGTGCAGGAGGTGACGTGGGTGAAGTGCTCTCCCATGAGGACTGGGCTTGTGTGGATCTCCTGGACAGGAGCAGATGTTTCTGAGTTTCTCTGAACAACTTCTTGTCAGTGCTGGAAGTGTCTTTTGGTCCAATCAGTTTGCTAAAGCATCTGCATGGTTGTACCATGTCCTTACTCATTCCACTAACCTGTGTGTGAGCCAGACAACTTGTGACTTACCCCTTTCACCAGCTGTGGTGTGTGTTTCCTGGTGTTTGCCCTGTGTGTTGGGGGGCACAAGGAATCCAGGGAGACTCCCCCACTGCAGGGTGCCCAGTGCATGGGCTCTCTGTCATCCTGGGGCTGCACTGTGGGTGAAGCCACGGTTGCTAAATAGGGTTTATGGACAGGTGACACTGCTCTTGATGCTGCTCCTCCCTGTCTCTTCGTGTCCTGTTTGTTTCTGTCCCGTTCCTGCCTTGTGAGTGATGAAAAGCTAAGAGAAACTGGTCCCTTGCACTCAGAGGGGCTGGACAGAGTCCCTTTGCCATGGCCTCTCAGGAGTGGCCAGGACATTCTGTCTCACACAGACCTGACTCTGGGCTGTAGCTGCTGCCCAGGGCTTTCCCCAGGAGCTGTGTGCTCTGCAGCCCCTCTGGACCTGCCTGTGAGGCCAGGCCAGGGCAGCCCACGGGGAGAGCAGGCCCGTGGGGACAGGCAGCATCACTGAGCTCTGCTGTGCAAGGAGGGAGAACCTGCTTTGGTGCTCCCCGGCTCTGCCTGGAGGGCAGCACGGGCTGCATGGTTACCAACAGCACAGGAGGGGTTTTAGGAGCTGCTGTGTTTGGGAATGAGCACAGCCACAAGTGTGGTGTGTGCAGAGCCTGGGCACCCCCCGTTCCTGCTGGAGGGAGGGGAGCAGTTGATGCTCTTTCCCAGGAAAAGAGGGAACACTGCCAGCATGGGCAGTGGGTGTCCTCAGCAAATACAGCACAGGTAAAGCTGAACCAGAGAAAAGGGAAAGCAGCCATGAGCAGGGGGCTGCCCTGTGGGACCCCACTTGCCCTGTACCACCAGCCCAGGGAGCTCAGAACAGCCCCACTCAACAAACATCACCACCCCCAGCACTAAATCCCTGCAGGCTGGGGACCTGGGCTCCAGCTTTGGAATGCCCAGAAGGAAATACGCCATCATCCCCATTTTATTTTCTTCCTCCCTGTTTTCACAGTTCTGGGCCCAGGTGTTGCTTCATGTCACTTTTCTCAAAGGTTGTGTTTGGCCTTTCTTTCAGGAATTTTCGGAAGCACCTCCGCATGGTGGGGAGCCGAAGGGTTAAAGCACAAAGTAAGTGAGCACCTGGAAGTGTGGCTGGAGTTGGGCTTTGTGGAGTTCCTGGGAATTCTGTCACATGCAAATGTGGGTTGAAAGGACCTGGCTTTGGGCTGGGGAGAGGATTTGACCTGTTGGTGCCATTTTAACCTACGAACAAGTAGGCCAGGTGGTTGCACATGTCCAGGACGTGTCGATGCCTGCAGCAGCCTGGAGGCTGTTCCCAAAGACCCTCTGCCATGGCTGTGGGACACCTCTGGTGCAAGGCATGGAAGGAAAGCTGCAGCATCCTTGTCCCCTCTCTGGATTTTGGTGGTCACTGGTGTGGAGGGCAGTGAGGAGAACCCAAGCTGGGAGTCCAGCAGAGCTGCCTGGCCTCTCTCTGCCGCTGTGACCAGCTGTGGCTCCATGTGCCTGCTGGCTGTCCCCTCCTCCCCTGTCCCACTGCCAGCTCCACAGCAGGATCTGAGGGAGAGCCTGGTGGGAAGTGAGATGATGGTGCAAGGAAAAAGAAGAGGATCAGAGAAGAGATTGAAGCGAGGGGCAAATCAGGGAGTGTTATGCCTCTTGGGGGAAGAAATCACCTCTCAGCTCTGCAAAATGGCAGTTCCCTTTTTTGTGGGGAAGGCAATAATCCTCCAAAACTTGGCTGGGCAACTCCCTTAGTGCTGTGAAAGTGGTGTAACCTGCTCCTGGGAGCTGAGGATTGCTCCAGAAGAGAAAGCATCTTGTTCTTCCCACCCCTTGGCCAGGCATCATGTACAGAGTGCCCACAGCAAAGCACTGCCGAGTTCAATTTGCATTCTTTCCTTTCTCATATGCTGTGGGAAGTGATCAGCAAAGAGCTTTGCCCTTTCCAGAGTCTTCATTGGCATCTGATTTAGCAATGCCTGACGTGGACAGGGCTCACCTCCGGGAAACTCAGGCCTCAGGAAACTCTGCCTCAGGAACTCTTGGGTCATGTTTTCAAAGCTTTCTTTCTGTGCACAGTAGCTAAATGCCTGGGTTTAACAGAAAGCTGAGGATGGAAATCACCTGAAGAACTGAAGACCTGGTTTGATTCCCCAGACACCCACCCTGGCCATACTTCAGCAGGGGACAGGCTGCTCTTGTGATGCTGATCCGCAGTGAAATCCTGTGCTGTTGTTACTCAATTCCCTGCTGCACACTCTGTCTGCCACCAGAAATAGGTATTAGTGCCCATAAGTGGCTGTTAATCCCGGCATAATGGCTCTCACATGAGCTTGCCAAGTCAGACGTGGTGGTTGCCAGTTCCCAGGAATTTTCCTGCGGTGCAGCCGTCTGAGCCAAGCTCCCTGGACTGTGCTTGGGAAATGCTCGTGCAAACAATACAGCACTCCTTGGGAGGAAAAAAAGCCAAGAGTAGTGTTCACAAGAGTGCAGGCAAGCAAAGGCTGAAGGATTTCCTCTTTTGCAACAAAATGTAGAAAGCAGGAGCTTTCCAGAGACATCCCCTCCCTGCTGTTCAGTCCAGCTCTGACTGGGGTGCCAGTAGAACATGAAGGGAGAACTGACTGGAGAGCTACAGCCTTCTTCTGGCCATTAGTTGTCATTAGCTTTGCAGTGTGTGTTTCTGTGAGGCCTTGGAGTCTGAGCACTTACACTGGGACTTGGTTAAATTGAGGTTTGAGCTGTGTGCATTTGAGGAGAGACCATCGAGTGTTGTCCTTTTTCTGTGTTCCACATTCCATCCTGTGCACAAGTGGGCACTTTGTCTCTGCTGTGTGGAAAGGACTCACGTTTGGCAAGTGGAAGGACCAGCCCAGGGGAGTCTGTGATGTGTGGCTTTGGTGGCAATCTGCTGGATGATTTGTTTGCTGGCAGCAGCAGAGGTGCTTTGGGATCTGTTAATGTCGTGCTCTGGTTTTATCCTTTAGCATTTGCCGAACGGCGTGAGAGGAGCTTCAGCAGGTCCTGGAGTGACCCGACTCCCATCAAAGCTGATTCCTTCCATGACTCTCGAGAAAGTGAGTTCTGAGTCCTTTGAGCTTCCTCCTGTGGGCAAACCCTCCAGCAGTTGTTGACTGGAGTCCCACTGGAGTAACTCCTCTGTGCCCTTCTGTCCTGTCTGTGATCCTTTTTTAGTTTCCTGAGATCGGAGCAGGTAGCGCTCCAGGTGTATGTACCTGTTCATCTGTGTGTACCTGTATTTATTTGTAGAGCACCACTCATCCAACCTCAGGTTATTGAGCAGTTGCCAAAGGGTACCCAGTGGTACGGCTCTCTTACAGCCCTCTGTTCCCATCATCCCTTATCCTCTTGGCACCAAAACCTCTCTGGAAGCTCACCAGTCCAAAGCTGTCTTCACCACAGTGGGGCTAACGTGGCTTCCCATGCAGGAGCCCCTTCTGGGCTCTTTCCTAGCCTGGAATAGCTCAAGAGCACAGCTGATGAGATGGATTTGATTTCCTGCACAGGTGATAGCTTGGGGCAATCTGATCTTCATTTGGGCTGCCAGGAATCCCTCTGGGAATCCCCAGTAATGCTGCCATGTTCTGCTTGAGGGGACTTCAGATGCTGTTGTGTTCATTTACAGGAAGGAATGCCAGCATCTTCCCACTGTATTCTTATAAAGGGAATGGCTGTTTTACACAGATTTTATTGCAAGCCTGTAGGCAGGAGCTTGGTGGATATGAGTTTGCCCATGTTGAGGTGAATTTCACTAATGAAATGATCTGATCTACCAGGTAAGCGTGAGATCTGGCCCTGCTAGGTGTAGAAGACCCAGGCTGCAGGGGGAGGTGTACGAAAGGCCAGGTTCAAAACATGACCCTGTTGTTTGGCAGTCTGACTCCTCAGCTACCCGGAGGTGGATGGAAAAGCCATGGAAAAGCCATGGAAAAGCCATGGAAAAGCTGTGGTTCACACAGGCTCCGGGCATTGCCCAGCGACACTCGGACATCCCCAAAGGCACAAAGAGTGGCACCTCGGTTCTCTTTCCTCAGTCCAGCAACCATCTCTGTTTTTAACCTTTAATGGTCAATTATATTCCTTCCAGATGTTTTTTTCCCCAGGAGCACTGAAGGCCAACAGGTAAGGTCGATTTGAAGAGCAAGTTCAAGTCTACTGTTGCAATATGACTGTGTTTGTTGCAGCTGTCCTCACGCACGCTCTAAGACTTCTCTGCCAGGATCACTCTGACCAACAAGGCAGATTTTCTTTATAATCCCTCAAAAGATGTAGTCAGAGCAGTAATTACTACAAGAAGATCAGCTTTGAAGTCTTTGGACTTTTGCTTATCAGCCTGGCAGTGCTGAAGTGTAGAGAGTCTGTCTGTGTTCCGTCTCCTTCCCCATCTCTGGAGTGACAGGGTGACTGTTGTGACTTAGCATTTGAAAACCAAGCTTGGTGACTGCGAGAGTGATGAAGTTCTGTGACACGTGGTGTGAGCTCTCTGTGCACTCTTCATTTGTTACATGTTTGTCTGTTTGAAGACACCAGTCCCAGAGTGGTGTCTGTCACTCTGTGGGTGACAAGAGGGCACGAGTGTCGTGGCACCTCTTGTGAAGAAGCTGCCAAGGCAGGATGGAGTGGGGAGGGCTGTTCTGCCCTTGTAATGCTCCCTGTGTTCTGGCAGGCCATGACCTTCAGGATTCCTGCGGGACTCTGGATGGTGACTTTGACTTGAACTGGGAAGCAGAAAAGGAACTTGAAGCCATGGCATGTGACGGAGAAGACTTTATTCCACCAAAAATAATGGTGAGAGTTTGCAGCTCATGCTCTGCCTGTCCTTTCAGTGCTGCTAGGTTCAGGATTTTCCTGGGAAGTCTGATGTACAGGCACTGCACAGCCTCAGGTGGCCGTGAGGGTCACTCAGAGATGAACCAAGACTTGACACGGTTCACATCTGTTATTGCTGGGGGTAATGCATTGAAAGAAAGCTAGAAGGACAGAGCAGGACTGACACCAATACAGAACCAAGTCAGCCTGAGCTTATTAACCCTGAAAACAGAGACCTGGGCACCAGTGCCAGCTCTGCTCCCACAGTGAGGAGCTGAGGGGTCTGGAATCACAGCAGAGCTCAGGCTCTGGTGCTGCTGGAGCCAGCTGAGGGTTCAGCCAGACTTGTCAGGCACTGTCTGACACCTGCAGCCCTGTGCCTGCTGTGCCTGCTGCAGTGCCAGCCCTGGGCTGGGCCATGTGCAGGTCCCACCAGACACTGAACACTCCCTACAGCTGAAAGGAGGTTTGGCAAGAGTGATCCTTGCTGGAATACAGCCATCCATGGTGGTGCTGCTCCATCCTCTGTGCACCCCAGTCTCCCCTTTCCAGACTGTTCTGGAAAAGGGGAGAACAGTGCAGCCTGAGGGCAGAGCTGTGTGCTCATGTGTTGGGGGTCAAGGAGATGGTGACAGTCAGGGGCACTTGGCAGGCCTGGGGGTGCTCTGGGCTGGAAAGCTTCCCTTGGGATATGGATAGACTGGGTTAGCTGCTACCTGACAACACTGAACACCTGAAAACAGCTGAACAGGACACTGTTTTATGGCCTTTGTGCTTCTGTCCAGACTTTACTGCCTTCTCCTCATGCTGTTGCACCTTTTTCCCCTTTGCAGCTCATTTCTTCCAAGGTGCCCAAAGCAGAGTATGTCCCAACAATTATCCGCAGGGACGACCCCTCCATCATCCCCATCCTCTACGTAAGTAAATCACTTCTGCTGTGCATGAGGAGTCATGTAGAGACTTTTTTATTTCCCTAGTTCCTTGTAGGGTGACAAAACGCTGATGTGATTTGGAAAAGCTGTCAGGAAGGGGCTGGGGGTGGGTTGAACCCAGCTTTGGGGTGTGGGGTAGCTTTGTGGGGGCTCAGGTCTAGGTGGAACAGTCAGGTGGGGTGGAAATGGTACACATGAGCTCCGGGAGCTGCGTGGGAGGATTATCAAGGGAAGGCAGGGCAGGCATTGCCAGGCTTAGGGCTCCTCCTTATGCTCATGCTTGGGATAAGCAGCACCTCGGAGCTCAGCAGTGAGGCACCAGCCCCATCACCCCACGTGCAGTGGGGCATCCCTGTCAGTCATTCATTTAACTCTGACTTGGCACTGGGAGTCTGGCCTGAGCAGATGTCTGAAATAGCAGTGAGGAGTCATGGGTTTCTTTTTCCTAATCACTTAATTTGCAGGGGAAGGTGGGACTGAGAGCCCAGCAAGGCCAGTGTCAGTGTGCAGCAGGCAGTGCTGCTGGCGTTTAGCCTTGCTGCTCTTGCTTCTCTTCCTTGGAGGATTGTTAGGTTGTCCTGATGACCCTGCTGTGGCAGAGGCAGCTGTGTGTTTGTCAGCCAGCTTGGACAGGGGTAAAGCCAGAGAGTGGCTGCAAAACATGGCCCAAATAGGCATTGCTGGTGTTGACTGCATCTGAGGGACAATCTGTGCTTTGGACATGTCTGCAGGCTTCAGCTTCAAGCCTTCAGGTGGATTTGATCTTCATGGACTGTTCAGTCTTTAGCTTCTGTGCTGAAATGTGATTTAGGGTGAGGGCTACTGCTGCTGTGGCCAGCAGCCATCAGTTGGTGTAAATGTTCTCTTAAAGCACCCTTGGAATGGGAATGTGTGATTACTAAGGAGCTGGTGGGCTGACACTGAACCTTTATCTGTCTTTTGTCTTGGTTTCCAGGACCACGAACACGCCACCTTTGATGACATCCTGGGTATGTGAATGTTATCTCCTCTTTTCATCTCCTGCCCATTGCAAATGTAACCAACAATAATTAAGACACTCAGCTGCCCTGTGCTTCAGCTGCCACTCACGGAGGTGTTTTTTTCACCCCAGTGACCCCTGGCAGTCAGTCAGCTGCTCTTGGATGTGCTGCTGTAATAAACATTCACTTCTGTGGCTTCTTTTTTGTGTTAAACTCATGGTTTATGGCAGGGAAACTGAGGCACAGAGCAGCATTGTTCATTGTACCTGTGGTGGGGAGTGGGAGCGGTGACAGAGGGCCAGGATGGCTGGGGCTGCTCCAGAGCTGTGGTCACTGCAGAGCAGTGTCTGGTGCTGTTCCATCCCTTCTCTGCCCTGTCACCTGCTGACATTTCCTGCTCCCCACAGCATCCTGGGCATGTACTGAGCACCCCTGCCAGCTCAGCTTCCTGCCCTCAGGACCAAGTGTAAAGAAAGAAATAAGATTAATTTTGAGATTTGTCCTTGGTTCATCTTTTTCTTTTTCTTTTTTTAGAGGAAATAGAGAAGAAACTTAACATTTATCGGAAAGGCTGCAAAATCTGGAAGATGCTGATATTTTGCCAGGTACATGAAAGTTGTTAAACACTTGGGTGATTTGTTACAAATTTGTCTTTTTCTATGGGGAAAGTGACATAGAGGAACCAATATTCCAAAGTCAGCTTCTATTAAAGTCGCTGCCAAGGCACAGCTTTCACTTCCCATTTCCCAGACGTGGAGCAGTCTCAAGTTGCTTTGACAGCAGGAAATCAAATCTGATTTAGTGAGGCCAAGTCAAGAGCTGGGCTGATTCTCTCAAGGAACTCCAGAAAAAGCAGTGTCAGCACTGACCTAGAAAGAATTCCAGTGACAGGAACAGGCACTTGCAGTGTCATAGTTATGGTTTCCATCTGGCTTCAGTGTGACAGTGACAGTGGAGTGTGCTGTGGCTAATGGCTCAGCTGGGAGCTGGAAGCCAGAGGATGCAGGAGAAGGGTCAGGCTGGAGCTGTGCTGGGACAATCCAGGCCCTGCTGGACTTGGGGGTTGCTGGGGTTTTCCTTCCCAAGTTTGCAGTTCCTCTTGGTCAGCTGTGGACTTCCCCAGCACTTCCTCACTTGAGAAGTGAGGGAGGTGACCTGACTTAACTCCTTCCATGTGCCCAGTGCTGCAGAGGAGCAGCTTTGCAGCACACACTGACCTGGAGATTGTGACTTTTAATGTTCCTGGTGTTGTGTCAATCTGTTCGTGCCTCCTGCTGCCCAAGAGCAATTCCTCTGCAGTGCCAGCCCTTGCCTGCTGTCCCTGCCGTGCTCAGCTTCTCCTCTGCCCACCCCCAGCATCCCCAAGTGATAGGGACTTTCTTGTCTTCCCCTGTTACTCTCCAGCCGTCCACAGTGGCGTTTTTAATCTATTCTTGTGCCTTTCTAGAGTGATGTGGGCAGAGAGCAGCAAATCCCAGAGAATGCAAGCCCCAGCCGGTGTGTGGCTGTTCCCTGAGCGTGCCCGCAGTGCAGGGCTGCCCTGCTCCCTTGTGGCACTTCTGGGAATGGCTGGGCAGGACAGGAAACACATCCAGGCTTTGTTTCCTCAGGGCCTGGGCAAAGGGGTTTCCATCTGTCTGTCTGTCTGTCTCTTGCAGGGAGGCCCCGGGCACTTGTACTTGTTAAAGAACAAAGTCGCCACTTTTGCCAAAGTGGAGAAGGAGGAAGATCTGATCCTGTGAGTGGCTGTGATGTGTTCTGGGCTTGCTCAGGGGTTTTCTGCTGGGTTTGCTCATCATTTCCAGTATGTGGTGGAGCAGAAGTGAAGGGAGCTGGGGTGGATTGGTCAGGGGATGAGGAGGCACTGAATAGCAGCTCACAGCTCATTCAGGGGCAGCAGCAAAGGTGGCAGAGCTGAGCTTGTCCCTGGAGTGCTGCAGCCCTGTCACCAGGGGATTTATTCTGTCTGTTTAGTGTCTCTGTGGATAGAGACTGTCAAAAGAGAAGGGGAATAAAGGTATTTATTCTACTAAAAACAGCTTTGCTGACCAGAAATGAGAACATGAACCTCAAGTCTCTGGGTAAGCTGGTGACTATGGCAGAAATCCAGAGTGTTCCCCCACAGCTGACTCTGGCCAGGGGGAAATGGAATTTGTCTCTGCAAAGCCTGCTCAAAGTCTAGCCTGTTACTGAGGAGGCTTTTCACTAACATGCCAGCCTTCAGCTGGGAGTGCTGAGCAATTTTGCTGCTCCTTGCAGAGAGTAAAGCTTTGCCTGTTTTGCTGCCTACTCGCTTGTGCTGGCTCAAACTTGCTTGGCTAACAGTGCCTGGCTGTGGGGGAGAGGATGTACACCAACCTGTTCCTACACAACTTTTTGTTGGCATGAGAACTGAGTATTAAAACCAACATATGCTCAGTAGTCTCATGCCCTGGCACAAACACTGGCTGTGGAATTCTCCAGCACGTGTGCACATCCACGATTCTGAGCACATCCCAGGCATAGCTGCTCCCGAGCTGATAAATCAGGGATCTGCAGAAAGCTGTTAACGCACAGCTGAAAGTTTGGGAGCTTGGAAGTGAACATCTCCACCTGGCTTGTGTGTTCGTGGGAGGCAGTGCTGAGGAAAGCTGAGGCTGCAGTCTGGTTGGAACACCCATGGAGGAATTTCTGGGCTTTAGAGCCCCCCAGAAGTCTGCTCCAACTCTCTGCCCAGGGGAGGGGGTCGTGCTTCACATCCCTCCTGGTCACAGTCGCTGCACATCAAGTGGGGGTGACTGTGAGCAGCACCAAGCACAGGCTGACATGGAGCTGCCTGGGCTGTGTTGTCTCACTCAGAACAATCTCTCCAGCTGTTCCCTGCTGATTTCATGCCCTGGAAATGAACCAGTGCACTGATAACCCCTGTGTTCAGAAAGGGCAGCTGTTGATAGAAATGGGAGAAAGGAAGCTGGAGGGGATGCTTGGTAAAACTGTCACTCCAGAAGCACTCCTGGGGGACTTTGCTCCCTTCTCCTCACCTTGGAGCTCCCTTGGCTCCATGGGCTGCTCTTCTTTCTCTGCCACATGACTTGGACCTGCTCCTCAGGCCCTGGCTCTGCCCCTGGTCTTCCTTGTCTGAGCTCCAGTGGCTCTTCCTGAGCAGTTTCCTGCCCAGGCTGCAAACCTTGGGCCCTGTCTGAGTGCTGTGTGCACACACCCTTGGCATTAATCATGCCTGTGAGGAGAGATTTATTTTTTTTTTAATGATGTGTTCTGTTTTTTTCCAGCTTCTGGAAGAGGTTGAGCCGGCTGATGAGTAAAGTCAATCCTGAACCAAATATCATTCACATCATGGGCTGCTATGTTCTTGGAAACCCCAATGGGGAGAAGGTAGGAGCTTGTGGGTCACCCCTGGAATGTCTGCTGGGCCCACGGAGGCCAGAGTCACACTGGGAGCTCTAAACCTGCCTCATCTGCTGGGTGGGAATGTGCTGCTGTCCTGTCCCGTGGGAGAACCACCCTCTGGATTGTGGGGCAGGGGAGGAAGGATTAGTGATGTGCAGGACAAATATCTGAAACCTTGGAGGAGAAGAGTTGTTCAAAGCACTTGGTGTGATAGATGTTTTAAAGGACATGGGTGGAAGGTGTTCCAGAACAAAGATGGGAAATTCTGGCTGCTCAGGAGTCATAAATGTTTTCAGCTGTTAACTCTGATGTGTTTCCCTTTCAGCTATTTCAGAATCTGAAAAACTTAATGAATCCTTATAGGGTTGCCTTTGAGTCTCCACTTGAACTATCAGCTCAAGGTAATTTATTTCCTGTACAAAGACACACACACACACACACACCTTGCTAACCAGTCTGCCTCCTTTGGGGGACATCTTCCTGAAAATGCAATTTTGATTCCCTTAAGTCCTGCCTTGGTCTTTGTTTTGCTTACCTTGTGTAGTTCAGCTGCTGCCCCTGGCCTTCCCCTTGCAGTTCCTGCATATGTTCATATTTCAAATTCCCTGTTTGTTGTGCCTGAGGCTGCAGAGGCCTCTCCCAGGATCCTGGCAATGCAAAAGAGACACATTTCTGGGCTGAGTGTAGGAGAATCCATTATTATTAGGGCATGAGGAGTCTGTGGGGGAAATGCACATGGAGCAGAACCTTTCTGTAGCCAGGTGTGCTGGGGTCTCTTCTCCAGAGCTCAAACCACTGGCACCAAGTGAATTGTGTCAATAAACAACTGGGATATGCCCCATCAGAGCCATTCTACAGCTCAGTCTGGCCCTTTTCCCTTTTTTTTTTTTCCCTGTAGCTCAAGATATTTCAAGAAGCTACAGGATTTTTCCTGTTCACTGGTCAATGTCAGTAATTCACAGTGCAGTTTCACAAGCGATAGATTCTGAATTTCCCCGTGTTCTCTTATCTTTGCTGTAGTTCTTGGCAGATAAAACCATGCAGGTTTCAGCTGTAGGCACTTCTCTGCTGCTCACAGCTCTGGTCTCAGCGCTGCTGGGTGTTTTTTTACTTCCCTTCACCCTCAGGAAAGTGCAGGAGTTGAGCACATTGGTGCTCAGCTGTTCAGGGGTCACAGAATCACAGAGTTCACAGAATCAGTCACAGACTGGTTTGGGTTGGAAAGGACCTTAGGATCACCCAGTTCCAGCCTGTCCATGGGCAGGGACACCTCCCTCCAGCCCAGGCTGTTCAGTTCTCTGTGCATGATCAGTTCAGCTGCACACGGTGCCTGCACAGAATCACAGAGCAAACACACTCAGATGTGTCCAGGAGCAGCTTGCAGGGAAATTCCTGGGTTTGTGGGCAGCTCAGCAGGCCAGGCAGTGGCTTCTGTGTGGAGGCATTAAAGCAGCTGAGCTTTCAGGAGGCTGGGCTGAGGAATACGTCTGAATTTATCCCCTTGATCAGTCTGGGACGTGCTAAGAGTGTACCCTCGTAATCCTTTGCAAAGTCATCTAAAACTAATCTTAATCAGGCCTCACAAGTGAAAATCCCCTCCTTGAGCCCTGAGTGCAGGTTTGTTTGCCCTTGTGTTTTCAAATGCACCTCCTGCCTGCCTGTAGAGCCCCTTCAGTCAGAGGGGCTGGAGGGCAGAGCTGGCACTGCTGTGTGCTGAGCTCATTGCTGGGAGCACAGGCAGGACAGGGATGGGCTGGTCATTTTAAAAAACACGTATTTTCAGATTTGAATCCTCAGTGTTAATTTTTTTTAGTGTTTCTTTACAAGGAGTTAACTCTTGGTTTACAGCCTCTGAAGTCCCTGTGGCTCATGCAGGCTGTGGCTGAGCCTCTCAGCCCCCAGCTCCCCTCAGCACTCAGAGCAGAGAGGTCAAAGTCTGGAGACAGACTTTGTGCTCAGTTCCTGCCCCCAGGCACAAACCCTGCCAAGGGATTACAGGGAGCTGTTCATGGTTGAGGAGATCTGAAAAGATGTTTGGTTCTCACGGGCCCCTCCACGTGCCCAGTGTCAGCTGGATGGGTCACCATGAATGAATGTCACCATGGATGGTGACACCCTGCCCACGCTGGCTTGGGGGTTTGTGCTGCTGTGTTCTGTCACCTCCCCCTCGTGCTCCTTTCAGGGTGTGACCCCTCTGCCTCTTTCACTTCTAGGTAAGCAAATGATTGAGACTTACTTTGACTTCCGCCTTTACCGCCTCTGGAAGACCCGCCAGCACTCCAAACTATTGGATTATGATGACATTTTATGAGCTGGAGAAGACTTTGCAAGAGGAAGCTCATCACCAGTGTCCAAGAAGTCATGCTTTATTGCAGAGAGACTTTTTTATTGGCACAGGGAGCCCTTCACAGCCCTACGGGAGGCAGCAGTGCTAAAGGGAGGGAAGGAGGAGCCCTCGGAAGTGTCGGGAGGAAAAGTCTCCTGGGCCAAGAGAGACTGGAGGGAAGGGGGTGACAGTGACACCTCGCTGGCCTCAGTCCGAGCCGTGGGGCCTCGGGAGGAGCTGTGTGAAACGAGGACAGGATGGAGTTCCTGGCAGAACTGAGCTGTTTTGGGTCAGAATGGGCCAGATTTGATTCCAGGTCCTTTTAAAGACTTTTGAAGCTCAGGTTTTCTTACAAAAAAAAACCACCACAAACCCATTTAACCCATGCACTACAGTGAAGAAGTCACCAGAGCACAGAGGGAGCAGGGGGTTGTCCTGGTGGGACTTTCTGTGCTGGGAGTCCTGGAGAGCAAGGACTGCTACACCTACTCCTGCAAGCTTAGAGCAAGATGATCCCGTTTCCATGTGAATATATACTGGGATATAGAATTGAAATCTTCTTTTTTGTTTGTTTAATAGAAAATAAGTGCAATTTTTATAGCGAGGGAGGGGGTAAAATCCCTCCCGATATTTAATTAGTTAAAAATAACACACCATAACCAATAGATGAGATATTTTTGGTCTGCTTGAAAATATATTCAGAACGGTAATATATCTTCTGTAGACATATTTAATCACCAGCAAACATGGTTTTAACATAAGTTAGCAGACCTTGCATGTCTGCTGCATTGGTTTGGTTCCTTTCAGAGTAGCTGTGCTGCACTACCTGTATGTGCTCTCACGAATGTATAGTTCTCCTAGAGTTAGCCACAACTTCATTACTTTATATTTTGCTGCTTGCAAAACTATGGAACTTTAGTTTTGCTGAAATATTTTAGGTTAGAAACACGGGACCTGGCTGGGAGCCTCCGTCAGGTTCGCTTTGGTATAAAAATGAATTAGAAATTAATAGCCATGGTAATTAATTGTTCATGCCAGTGTTTTGCTGTGTGTTGGGAGAGGAGCTCTCTTCCTGTATGGAGACCCCTCTGAGGGGGCTGAGCACTGAGGCATTTGGGAGAAATGCTTCTGGAGGGACACAGCTCAGACTTGGAGCATGAGTTTGACTCTTCTCTGTTCACTTGATTGCCAGTTTGTTTGTGCATAACCTACCCCTTTTTTCCATGACCTGTTTCTTGGTCTGAGCTGCTCAGCCCCTTCCCTTGTAGGACAGAGAAAACCCCGAGCTCTGTCAGAGCAGCCTGAGAGCCCAGGTCTGTACTTGATACTTGATGGTATCTTTTGGAATCTATTTATTTTTGTTTGGTTAGGTAAGGGGGTGCTTTTTCTGTTTTGGGAATGGGGCTTTTTTCACATTCTGCTGTCCTTTCAGAGGACAAATAGTGCTTAGAGTCTGTGTAGGTCACTGGCAATTCTGGGAGGTGACACAAGTTATTTCTTCTACAAGCAAAGGAAGTAACAGGGAAGGATTACCTTAATTTCCTGATTTTCTGGTATCTCAAATTTGTTGATTGTGAAGTGAAGGAAAATACATGTACAAATCTGTTAACTACTTACAAAGAGAACTTGGTGTTCTGATCTGTAGAGTCCTCCTTTCCCTGTGCCATACCTGTGGTTGTGATTTTGGGGAGCAGGCTCCTGCCTAGAACTGCTGAACCCTTTACATTTAGAGCAGTTTTATAGCAAAACTTTGGAAGAAATAATGTACATACATTAAGGAAAGGAATAGAATAGGTGGAGAGAGGTAGTTTAAAGTCACTGAAAGCCACACAGACAGGTGTGGGCTGTTGCCTCCCCCAGGCTGGGAGCTTTGGTAGCCACGTCTCATCCCTGGACTCAGGTTTCCCAGATGTGACGGGGAGAACAGGCACCAGTCTGTAGCTTTTGGAAGAAAATGCCAGACAGAAAAGAAAAAGATCCCCAAATTTATGCCAATTACTGTTTAACACTGGAGCTTCCACCAGCTCTGTGGTGAGAGGTGGGAGCCAGAGGTGCAGTGAAAGCATAAAGTCATGTTATCTGGAGAAGGAAATGGTTGTGGGAGGATTAAAATGCTGACACAAAACTCTCTCCCTTTCTGACCCTTTCACCTCCTAACTGGAGACAGGCAAACTGTTCTCCCTTTCTCAAATCCCAATTCAGTGAACTTGGTAGCATGAATGTAGCATTGTGGAACTATTGCAAATCTTATTTAACCCCCAAAGGGCCCATTTATGTATCCACTTGAGTGATTTCTCTGTAAAACTATTGTATATCCTCACTGACCACTTGTACTTGGGGTGCAAAGTAGAAGGTAGATTGTACAGTAATTTCTGTGTGGAAATGGACACTATGGACTGTTCTGGTGCAGTTTATGGGATTGACAACTGATGAATGCATTTCCCTCCAAAGATCTATATTCCTCATAGCTTGTGATGTTTATGACATGAACATATTTTTTCCTTTGTAGCATTCATTTGCCTGAAGAGATGAAATTCTCTCAGAGCTGTGACTGGAATAGAGTTGTGATGTTTCATGTCCTGTGTGAGGCAGCATCCTTGGACTTAACCACTGGTGACAGAGGAAAACGCTTTTATTCCCCTTTTTCACTGGTGGAGTTTTTCAGGTGGCTGCTGGGAAAGGAAAGGGGTCAGCAGAGGCAAATAAAAATTGCAATTATTTAAACTTTAGAAGTAAAAATACGGCCTGGAACTTCCTCAGTCAGAGCAGCCTGTAAAGGATGAGCCCAGCATGGTCCCAGCCAGGACAGCTCCAAGGCCCAGCGTGTTCCTCACCCCCTGTGCCCCTGCAGCATCCCCCAGACGTTCTGGGGCTGCCTGCAGTGCCCCGGGGCACACAGGACAATCTGTCATTCCACTCCTGCCTGTTCCTTCAGCTCTCACCACCCTGCTCTCGGGGTGTGTCTGAAACCAGTTCTCTCCTGTGCCGCCGGCAGTTCCGTGTGCCTGGGCTGGGTGAGGGGTGAGCAGCTCCTGTCCCAGGGAACTGCTGCTCTGGAAATGCCTTCAGCAGGGGCAGGAGAGTGGGGACACCTGCTTCACTTGAAGAGAAGCAGATTAAACCCAGATGGCTGAACTGGGTGCCAGCCCTGGCTGTTCAGCTGGGTTTGTGCTGCCCTTGCTGGAGGCAGTGTTGGATGTGACCCCCAGCGCTGGCCTGGGTAAATGTGTTATCACAGCTGTTAAATGTGATAATTGTGTTATGGCCCGGGCTGGCAGTGTGACTCCAGGAGAGGACAGTGGCAGGAAGGTCCTCAGCTGTCCCAGCCCTGCTCCTCAGCCTGGCTCTGTGCTGGGAGTGGCCCCAGGATGTTCTCTGGTGCCTGCAGGGAATGTTCACTCAGCTGGAGAGGCCTGGGGGATCACAGGCTCTGTGGATGTGGCACTTCCAGAGAGGCTTTTTTCTTTTCCTCTTCTTTGGCTGGGAAGGAAAGGGAGGAAGAAAATTCAAGTTACCCATGGGATGTAGAAATAGGTAAAAACAAAGCTTTTTGCACCTCTGCTCACGCTGCAGCCACCAGCTTCCCCTTGCAGCTGACCTCCAGACCTGGGGTGGGAAACACAAATTCCCAGATAATCCCTTCCTGTGTTAAAAAAACAAAAGCAGAAAAATCCTCGTAGCTCCCAGCAAAACATCTGAGTGTAAAAGGCACCCAGCCAGCTCATCCTGCCCGTGTGAGGACTCTGCTGTGGGATCCCAACCTGCTCCCACCTCTGAAGCCACCAGAGCCTGTGGAGGGGCTCGGCCTCCGTGCAGGAAACTCCAGGGAGGAATTTATTCATTCCTCAGCCTGGGCTTGCTGCCTGGAGCTCAGCACAGGGTTCCTGTTTGCAGTGGTGTGTCCGTGTGCTCCTGTGTCCTCAGCCCGGGCTCTGTCCCTGCTCTGTGTGCAGGGAGTTGTGAGCAGTGTTCGGGATCCTGGCACGGATCCACTCCTGCAGCTCCTGCCCTGCTGACCTGTGCCTGGCAGTTCCTGTTCCCAGGCTCTGCTGGCAGGGCTCAGCACCCTCAGCAGCACAAGTGGGGTTGGCTGCAAGAATGGAAAATGCTGGCTACAAACAGCCAGCCTGGCAGGATCTGGGAACAGGAGCGTGTCCTTAGTCCTGGCCCCATTCTTAATCCCACTGGAGGTGGAATGCCAGGCTCGCTCTGCTCTCTCTGACTGTAAACGTTCAGCCTCTCACAAGCTGGTTTGAGTCACACTTGGATATTATTAATGTCTTAGTCCAGGGTAGGGTACTGTATGAGTGAGAAAATCCTTCCAGGGCCCTTGCAGTTGGCAGCTGCTCTCAGAACCCTCCACCAGGGATGTGCTGGGCCGTGTCCTCCTTCTCGGGGAACCGGGCCCCGCTGCCAGGTGGGCTCAGGAAAAGCTCAGCTCAGCTCAAGCTGAGTTGCTCTGTGCTCTGGGTTTTGCTGTGCCAGTCCCTGGAGCTAGGGCCAGCCCTTCCCGAGGATCCCAGTGTCCTCCCAAGGGCTATTGAGGGGTGATACCATTTTCCACATCATCTGTAAAGACTTTGTGATCCTGTATTTTGTCCCACTGACTACAGCCTATCCCTGGCTTTCTGCATCTTCCACGGACGTGTTTTTTAATTCTCATTCTGGAAACACAAGCCAAAGTCAACTGGAAACTGTTACTGGCAAGTCAGCCTGGTTCTGACTCCCCTGTGGGAGCTGAGGGAGTAAATGGGTGGTTTGAGAGCCGTGACCCTGATTGGGATCATTGTTATTCCCAGGTGATCCTGCTGTGGCACCGGCACAGGTAATGGGAAACAACCTCTTGCTGGGGCAGTGCATGATCTATCAGAAAGCACCAGGAACCAGCAGCAGCTTTGGTTCAGAAATAACTCCAGCCCAATTTACTGCCAGTCAGTGTGAGAAATGTAAAGACTGAAAGGAATAAACATTGTGGACATTAAATGTAAAGAATCTGTCTGAAGAGAAACTACATTGCTTTTTTCCATAAATGTTTAGTAAATATTAAAGAACTAATGCAACCTAATAATTTTTCACAGTATTGTGTTGCTTTTAGAGTATCCATAAAAATAACAGGTAAGGACAATAAGACCCATCACAGGTTATTGCCCTGTATTCTGAGAATGGGGATAATTACTCAGCATTCCATTCTTCCTTATCTCAGCATCCCACTGGCCTGGTGATAATCACAGCAGGAGTGCCCTATAAACCTTTAGCAGGAGGAGCCTCTCCACCTGCACTGCTGAGCTGAGAGAGACCCCCAAACACCTGATGGAGCCACATGCTGGTCCTGTGTCCCCAGGGGCTGGTCCTGTGTCCCCAGGTGTCCTAGGGTGGCCCCTGCTGTGCTTTGTCCTGTCTCTACAGCCACCCACACTGGGGTACAGCCCCTGCCCTGCTCCCCACTGCTCCCAGGGTCCGCAGGGATGTGCTGGGTTGTACCTGGGGGATGTTTCTCCCCTGGGTGATGGAGCTGCTGCTGAGGCTGTGGACTGGTCACTGGACCAGGGACTGGTCACTGCCACTGTCCCCTGGTCTCTGGCTCAGGACCAGCCCAGATGCAATTGCGTGGATTCAAAAAGCTTGGGTGAAAAGTGGGGGGTTATGAGATAATTGGTTTCTAATTTGTGTTTGTAGTGCTAGCTGTCCATTGTAGTAACACAAACCCACCTACACCGTGCTGGGAATTCAAGGACAGGGATCTTTGTCCTTACCTTTGGAATGCCCTGAAAACCTCAGAGTTAAACAGAGCCAAACAAGGCCCCTGAGCAGGGATCCTGCTCCATGCTGTGCCCCTGTGCTCAGAGCTGGGGGTGGCTGAAGGAGCTGGGTGGGTTTGGTGTTCCCCATCCCAGGGAAGCAGGCTGGAGTCGTACCCAAATGTGCTGAATGGGCTGTAGCTTTTCTGCTCCGTATTTCCTGTTGTTCCTTAATAACACTATTCCTGGAACTGGGTGACTTCAGTTGTGATACCAAGCAACGACACAACCTGAGCTCTCAGGGGCTGGGAGCCAGCACCCTTTTGGGATCTTTTTGCCCTCAGAGTTCAGGCAGCAGTTTTCATTTCCAGTTCCCTTTGCCTCCGCAGAGTGAGGGGACATCAGCAGCTTTCTGAAAAGAAAATTCAGTGCCTGAGTAGCAAGGAGAAAAGGAGACAGAGACAGTGGGTCTGGTAAATGTAGAGAAGGAGAGGCTATGCCCAGTAATGCCCCTTATACTCTGAGATGATTGAGCAAGTTTCTTTCACTCAAATAAGAAAAAGAAGCAAAATAATGGGGGGAGCCCCAGACCACTTCAGTGGAATTGATCAGCTGACAAACCTTGTGAAGATAAAGCGCTCTGCTGATTCTGCCTGTGCTCTGTGTGGAGTTCAGAGGGAGCTGACAGCGTGCTGCTCCTTTCCCAAATGCAGTTTGAGTGCAGGGCAGTGTGGCTGCAGCCATCTCTGCTGGGTCCTCACACACCCTCCTGGCACATCCGAGCACTCAGAGCCCTCCTTGCTCTCCCATCCCAGCAGGAGCTGAAGGCACAGCAGGGGCACAAGGAGCTGGAAATGCTGGGCCCAAGAGAGACCTGGGATTGGAGACCCCAACCTGGAATATGCTGGTTTGGGCCCAAACTGAGGTTAATGGAGAGTTTTATAAACAAAGACCGTGATCTCCGAGGTCTCGGTGGGCCCTGGAGCAGCAGGTTGGCTCCTTGGAAAAGTGAGAAGGAGGTTTCAGTGAGCCCAGCACCCTCGCTGTGGTTTCTGGCTGCTGCTGCTCTCCAGGCCAACCCTGCCTGACTCAGGAGCCCTCTGCTGCTTTGTGTGGGATAACCAGACCTCAAGTACATGGATGTTTCTAGGGCTAAAGACATGATTTAATAAAAAGAGATGTTTCTGGGAAAGCTGTTTTTTCTCGTTCTTTTTGTTGTTGTTGTTCTCTGGCTGGGTTTATAAACCAGGAGATGGCACTTGGCAGATGCTGTGTGAGGGAAATGATGTGTGATGAGCCTGTGGTGCAGGGGAGGGATCCACAGGCACTGGGCACCTCTGTATGGCAGCAGCTGAACACACGGGAGCAGAGCTCCAGACAGACAAGAGGCCCTGGTGCAGCTAAAAGTGGAGGAAAGCAAAAAATCCTGATAATTTAAACAAGGGACCATCTGAGAGCCACAAATCACTTGTGGGGACAGGACAGGGATAGCTCAGAGTGATTCAGGTTCCAGCAGCATCTGTGGCTTAGTGAGCATGGGGTGCTAAAGGAATTTAGAGCGAATTAGGGATTGTTCCTCTTCCTGGGAGGAAGGCTAATCCCTGAGCACCCTCCCAGACACAGAAACAGAGCCCTGGGGAAATCCAAGGGAGGTTAAAGGCCTGGTAATCCCCCTGGGGAAAACAGACTGGCTCTAAAACACAGCACCTCCCCGGCAGGGCAGAAGGCAAGGAATGGATTCTGATAAACCACTTTCTCTCCCACGGGCCTGTTTGAGTGAATTGCCAAAGGGAGCAGCCCTGGTTTGAACTCCCAGCTGCAATTTTTCCCTTATCTCCAATGCTGACAGTCACCTGCATGTTCATCTTCTGATAAATGTGGTAACTGCAGCCCCTCAGCACAAAGAGAAACAGGCTGGACAGCTCTGCCATTTGAGCCATTTTTCTTCAGCCCTGGGGATTTCTCAGCCTCCATTTCTCCATCCTCCACATTTGGGGATATTCTCCACGTGCCACCACCACAGTGAGGTAGGGTGTGCCATATTCACCTCAGCTAACAGATGACAGGAATCACCTTTAATCCCTTACCACCCACTGCACAGCCTTGTGGCACCACTGGTGCCCAGAAAGATGGTCTTTGTCCTTTATCCTGGAATCGTTCCACGTGTCCTGGTTTTAAATCAGCATCCTGGAGAATCCCAGGGATTACTCTTCCCTGTTTCTCCTTCTCTCTCCCTCCGTGCCCTGTACACACAGTGGGTGATGGACACAAACCGAGTTTAAGGTGAAATCCCACAGAGTCGTGCTGGTCCCTGCTCTCTCCCTGTCCCCTCATCCCGTGGCTGTGCCTGGGGCTGTTCCTCAGCTGCTCCTGCCCTGCTGTATCTGCCACATCCTCCTGCGGCTCCGCAGCCGTGCCCCGGCGCTTTTCCATCACAGCCTCGCAAGCGCTGGCCCCTGTCACCAGCACACCTGGGTTTTGTAATCGAACACTCCTTCTTGTGCCAAAATACGAGAGGGATTCCCGGGAGCTTCTTAGCAGCAGCGCCGGGCACTGGGCCGGGGCTCCCCGCGGCTGTGAACACTTGGGATTAGCTCCAGGGCACTGCTCGCCAGCCAAATCTCACTGCCCGGCCCTTGACTCTGCTCCACTGACTCAGCCGAGGCTCCACGCACTTGACAGAAATGATAGAAGACTCTCAAATCCTGACTGGCAGGGGAGGGGATGAATAATGGCTGGATTTATTGTTTTGTTCTAAAGACAGGCGGGCATGCGGTGAAACCAGCAGATGTCAGGTTCAATGCCCACAAAGGGAGGCGTTTTCTTTGCGCCAGGTGCAGCAAAACTGTGTGGGATTCATTATTTCAGGATTTACGGGCTTTACACAGGCTCAAAAGCCAACCAGACAAGACCACGAAAGAGAAATCCATTGAGATCTCCGAGTACAAAGGCACATTGTTGGCCCTGGACGCGCCTGAGCCGTGAGTCACCAGAGGCGGGGAAATGTCTCTCCCCGCTTGCTCCGCTCTTTATCCTCAACCCCGGCACCCGCTGTGGCCCGGGGAGGGCTGGAGGCAGATGCTGCGTGATACCCGTGCTTGAGGGTCATGTGTGAGCCTCACATCACCCCGGAGTAATTTAAGGTGAAAGGCACGGAGCTGCCTCCTCCCCAGCAGCTCCGCGGGGCACCCAGCCCAGCTGGGCACAGCTTCGGCACTAAAAGCTGTTTCCAGTGGTGTCGTTTCCAGGTCTCGTTTGAAGAGGGTGCGAGCGCTCTGTTGCGGCTCGGGAGTGCAAAGGTAGGAGCCTTATCAGCAGGATACGGAGCTGCTCCCCGTAAACACACCTGTGCCACAGGCTGCGGCTCTGGGACCTCCCCGAGTCCTGCCCAAAGGTTATCTTATGTCACTCGTGTCCCCGGAGTCTCCCAGGCCAGGATTTGGGAGGTGTGGGAAGTGCGATCGTTTCCTGATTGCGCACAATTCCCAAAGACACCTGCGGGCGGCTGATAAACAGGCGCTGACTGAAAATAACGCCGCGGCAGCGCTTCTGTGTCCAACAAGTGGCTGTCAATGAATCACCGAATCACTGAATTACAGAATAGCTGGGGTTGGAAGGGACCTCTGGAGATCGTCCAGTCCAGCCTCCTGCCAAGGCAGGGTCACCCGGAGCAGGTGACACAGGAACGCGACCAGGTGGGTTTGGGATGTCTCCAGAGAGGGAAGACTCCACGATCTCCCTGGGCAGCAGAGTTAAATGGGGAAAATGTTCTATTTCTGCCATATGCCACGGAAAACGCCACTCGTGTATATCAGAGCTCCCCCTAAAACGCTCCTCTGAGGGTCCGGGTACCACAGACATTGCTCCAGAGTTCGGGGCTGGATCCCTGCTCCGCCTGCGACGGTGACCGACATCCCCGAGAGGCGCTTTTCGATCCTGTCCTCGGCTGGCACCAGACGGACCAGCCCGACATGAGGGAACAGGCAAATATTGGGATTCTGTGTCGGTCACCGTGGCTCGTGTCCCGTGCCGGGGGTCTCCTGTGTGTGAGGAGAGGGCGATGCGGGCGGCGGGTTCTGTCACACCAGGTCACAGCACCGCGCCCGGGCCCCTTCCCGGGCGGCGGGGGCGGAGCGCTGGTCCCGGTGCGGCCCATGGGGGGCCGGCCGTGCCCGGCCCGGGGGCGGTGCCGCGGGGCCGCTCCGGCGCGGCGGGGCCCGGCCCGCAGAGCCCCAGCGCCGCCGCCATGAGCAGCGCGGAGCCGCCGCTCGGCGCCGGGCCGCGGGCAGCGCCCGCCTGGCAGCGGGAGATCCTGGAGCGCAAGCGGGCCAAGCTGGCCGGGGCGGGGGGCGAGCCCGAGTCCCCGGCCGGGGAGCGGCTGGTGGTGGCGGAGAGCCTGGGCCCGCTCCGGGAGAACCCCTTCATGCGGCTGGAGAGCGAGCGGCGCCGGCTGCGGCAGGGGCGGCCCGGGCCCGGCGGCGCGGCGCGGCCGCTGCAGCAGCTGCTGGAGCTGTACAGCGCCGTGCCCGGCATCCGCACCATCCGCGCCGACAACATCCTCATCATCGAGTCCCGCTCCGACCCCGCCGCCTGCTTCGCCGCGGGGGACGCGCCGCCCGCCCGCCGCCGGGACCCGGCCGGCACCGACCCGCTGCGGGAGCTGCTGGCCCGGCGCGGCGCCGCGCTCGCCGAGATCCGCGCCGACCAGGTCGTCATCTACGAGACGGCCGAGCCGCCGGAGCCGCCCGAGGCGGCCGAGCCGGGCACCGTCAGCCGCCTCCTGGAGAAGTTCGGGCAGCGGCCGCGGGGCCGCCGTCGCCGCGTTGGGGACGCTCTGACCGGGACCGGCGGGGGCGCGGC